CACTTTCTTTGTGTTACCGTCGACATTACCCTTCATCATATCCAAACCCTGACAGAAATAACTCATTATAATTATTATTTAGTATGTATTGCATATTTCTTGTGCGTTATTTACATTCCTTTCATTCAAAATCAAATCCCGTAGCAAACCAATTTCCTGGATTAGGTTTTCATCTACATTTTTAAAAGTTATAAAACTTTACAAAGTTTTTGGAACATTTTTCTAATTCATGTTTTTCTAAGGTTTTTATATCAGTGATTAATTTGAAATCAGAAATAATATTTGGTATACTTTTAAATATATCTTCTATTTGTACAATAACAGTATCAATTAGAGTGTTAAAAAAATAACATCTAAAATTCCTCTACCGGGTTTTCTATAGCTTCATCTTCTGCTATTTCGGAATATAACCTTTTCCTTTTTCATATTCGTTTTTCAGAAAAATGTTCTGAAATATTCAAATTACGTACTAGCACTTTTACTTTGTCTAAAAATGTGTTAAGTTTTTGTTCTTAAATTTTGGATTTCAGTTTTGATTTTATTCACTAAATTAAAAGCCGACTCAAGAATAATTGTTTTTGCTTGAAATAGTATATTGATAGCATTGATTTTAGACAACATTGCAAACCATACTATTAAATTTGATGGATTCAATACAAAAAATGCCATTTATTTTATGTTTAATAAAATAAATGGCATTTTTTGTATTGAATCCAATAGACTTTTAGTTTCGGATACCACTGTATTATCGTTACTTACATAAATAAATTCTTCTAGGGCATTACAAGTTTGTTCAAACTGTGTATACTCTGCTTTAACCGAATCTATTTTGGTTTCCCAACGAGTGTCACATAATGGTTTAAGAGTAATGTTTAAATGCTTTTGTAGAATTTCCCATCTCATTGTAGATGCAGAAAATAAGCAATATAAACGTTGCAATATCCCAAAAAAATTTTTACAATATATACTACTGGAAGCAGCATCACAAATTAATAAATTAAAGAGTGTGATAGGCAAGGCACATATATTGCCTGAGGGTTTAGAGCAATTATTCTAGATTGTACAGTACACCTTTATATTTCCCTTTCATGTTGCTACCGTTGTCGTATCCCTGCCCTCTACAATTCATAATATCTAAATCAAGCTCACTTAATGTTTTCAATAGAGTTTTTGCTAGTCCTTCTTCAGTCACATCAGTTGCTTCAATAAACTTTATAAATGACTCATTTATAATTAATCTTTTCTCTTCAAAATTTACATACCTAATAATAATTGAAGTTTGTTCCTTATGGGAAATATCAGGAGTACAATCCATTTGGATACTATAGTATGTGGCTGCTTTTATATCGTCTTTAATTTTGTTAAGGACTTCATCTCCTAACGCAGAAATAATTTGTTCTTGTGATATACGTGCTAAATGATGCATAATTCTATTTTTCGAATTTTTTATTCTGTTTATATGATCCATTAGAACAGAGTCGTATTTACTTAAAACTACGACTATATGCAAATATACATATAATTCTATATGGCCGACGGCCACAGTATTATTTTCATTTCTTAACGCGAGCTATATGGTATTGAGATTTTTTTAAAAAGTCGAATTTAGGTGGGGATTCTCGGGAGTTCCCTGAATCAAATAACAAAATCTAAACATTTGCATCACCGAGAATTACTTTGAAGATTGTCGAAATTCAGAGATTACAATAATAATGTTTACGATAAAATGTACTTTTCGTCATACTGACAACGATAGGAATATTGTCAAGTTTTCTTGTGCATTCTTGACAATGTTGGGTCCCCTCAATCGCGGGGCCCCGGTGCATAGCATCTGCCGCACCCCCAATGGCCGGCCCTGGTCACAGTCACATCCCATATGTTCATATGCAGTGATTGCATTTTTGGCTTTGATGTATGCCATACATTTGTTGTCAAATATGCTCTAGAAATATTTACTTTAACGTCTCTAATGCATTTACTTTTGTTAAATGTTTATTTTGCTATTTCTCCAATAGATGGCACTATGTTACAAACATTTTTTAGTGGTTTTTGGCAGGAAAGTGAAGTTTATTTTTGGGATTCACCAGCATCTATGTAAATTGTTTTTGGTAGTCTTTCTTTCAAATAAATAATTATAATTATTATTAATAAAAAAAGTGTAAATTATGAATAAATAAAATTATTCTATTTTTAGAAAAAAATCGTATTTACAACAAATTTTTGCATATTACTTCATAAATATTGATTATATATCAAATAGCAATGAAAAAAATTGATATTTTTTGGATGGTCATTCTGAGAAAAAAGTCCAGCAACAAGTTGTTTAACTTTCCCAGCAACATTTAAAACTGTGTATGTGGTGCCATCTGTTATAATATTTTATTATTAAAAACTTCTTAGATTTTTAATTATTATAAAAATGGCAAAAAGCATAATTTTGAGGGTAGAGATGGATTTTATTAAAACAAATTGTAAATGCTAATAATGAGTAAAACCATTAAGTTTGACTTTACTCAAGATATGACATATGACCCCCCCTCTCTCCCCGTCCTTCGACCTTTAAACCACCAAAATTTGATAGCATTAATCTCCCTAATATACAAACCTTCCTGCAAAATTTCAGAAATTTTTTCATAAAGAATAGGAGATATTAAGCTTCAAAGAGGGTGAACAAACTCATACCCCCCACACCAGTGGCGTGTCGTAACATTTGATGATAGGGAAGCTGTGTTTTGTAAGAAGCCGACATCCAGGGGCAATCAGTCAATTGCGCATCAGTGATGGTCTAGGGTTCATTCGTATCGTTTATTTGATAAGCCAGTAAAAATTGTAGACTTCTCTAAATGCATTTTTAATATCACAATTACATTCTGAATCGCTAGCCACGATATAAGGGCTACAATTAAGAATAAAATAATAAAAACTTACTTGGTGAAATAAAATGTGTGGTGGATGTACCGGTACATACCTTTTTTTTTTTTTTTTTTTACTCTTTCTGCCCTGTGGGCACTAGGAGGGCCTCTTTTTTGCAAGCCCATTATGGGTTCGGCCAGGCCCACAATGGGATGACCAGGGGTGAGGGATGGAGCCCGACATATCCAAATGGACCACCCCCCAAAAAATTCCTGTGGATTCCTTGACCTGTCCGGATTCGATCCCAGGTCCTCCAGAGCGGTAGGCTGCTACCTTGACCACTCAGCCATCCGGCCTCTACCAGTACATACCTGATACAAAATATTCTTCAATTGTATGAATATATTAAATATAGCTTTATAAAGAAACGTACTAGTACATAAAAATAACATAAAATATTCTTTACTTTTTAAATCTTAAAACAATGCACTTAGTCAAATAGCTCCCTACGAGTGGCTAATGGATGGAATCGAAGATGGTTGCAGAGCGTGCATACACACAGACTTCCAAATCCCCAGAGTGCCGATACTGGTCAATGTCAAATACCTCTTTTGTCGCATCACTAGTATATCTCAAACGACGTGACAAGGCTGTTGTAGATTTTAAATGTTTTTCACTATAGCTGTAAAAATCTAAATATGTTAAACTTAATAGTCATTTGTTTTCTAACTAATACATTTTAGGACCAAGTGTCCTCAGAAATTTCCAAAATTTACAACTTTTCAGTCACTCTCATTGAGCTGGAAAAATTTCTGTCTTTATTACATTAATAATACGAAGAAATCAGTCTCCACTGTACTCAGCTAGAGATGGTTCGGTTAAGCTTTTGTTTAAGTAAAATTTCGGCTCTTTCATCAGGGTTTTGTTTACGTCCCCAATTCCCTAATTGCTTAATTATTTAACTACTTCTTAAGTAGAAATAAGTCGAAACCAGTTACTTTGTACTCGAAGTAGTCTTGTGAAAAAAGTGGAAAGACAAATTTTTATGACACACGGATACATAAATCGTAAATTTAAGGAAAATAAATTCTAGAGCTTTTTCTATACCTCTTGCATCTCTCTCATTCATTAAATTTAGTTGTAAATGATGCTATCAAAGTAACAGTTAATTTTTTAACATTGTACAAGAATTGTACACGTTTTTTCCTACATCCCCTTAAAGATGGGACATACGAAATCGTAATATCACTGGTTTAACATTGAAATACGTGAGTAATATAAAATCGGAGCAGAATAAAGATATCAAATATTTTAATGGATTTTTTTAAACTCCTGTCAACTATACAAAACTATCATAAAAACATACCAGTAAATTCTTATCAGTTGGGTTAAGTTATAAGTCTACTCGTGATTCATGTAATCGGGCGAGTATCAAATATCTAGTGGGCAGGCGGCTAACAGCCCAGAATTGGTCTGTATAGAATTGGATGCGGTATACATGTAGCATCCACCCAAGGTCCTAGGCTTCCACCAGCTAAACCGGATGAGGTTGGTGCTGTGTAAAGCGCATGCACGAATCTGGCTTTTTGGATGCTGGCAATACAGCACTTCCACTCTGTCACTAATATTTGAATATACAATAGCAATCTTTTTTTTTTTTTCACATGTAGTATAGAAATTTGTAATAAGATACATAATGAAGCTATAATAAAATATTGTGTGATTTGTATTTATTTTTTAGAAAATACAAGGGAAGTAGCGCATCCACCACTTCCAATGATGGCACGCCACTGCCCCACATACACACTAAAATCCTTACATACAGAAATTATTCCCAAATTTTTTTTTTTTTTTTTTGCATTTCTCAACATTTCAAGGTTCCAAGTCCAAAAATGTAAAAATCAGTTTGTTTTCAGTTTTATTCAAACTTAACATATTTGAAGATAAAATTTAAAAGCTTCAGAATCATTTATATTATCATAACTATCATAAAAATAATTACATTAAGACTTAATTGAAAGTGTTTTTTTTTACTTATTTTTTTGAAGTATTATCTCAAAGAATTGCCTTTATTCAAAATTGAACTATTGTAAATAATAAGTTATGTATCTGTTGTAAATGTTAATATCAAAATTTTTTATTTTCAGGAAATTTAGGTTTGACACTGGAGAATGATAATTCAGAAAAAATTGAAGAAATGAAAATGGACAAAATTGATGGAGAAAATAAGATTAGAAGAAGGATATTAACAGTTCACAGTTTAAAGAAAACAGGTGTAAAACAAGATATTCATAAAAGAAGCCAAAATTGCAAGAAGAAATATAATAAATGTACAAGAAATTCTATGAAAATAATTACATGCAATAATGCAAATAAGAAATCATTTAAATATAAAAAACCAATTTTTAATAAAAGAAATACAACAAATGAAATAAAATCAAATAATTCCATAATATCAAAACAATCCTCCCAGTCTGAATTAGCTGAAACCATATATTCCAGCAGAGGAAGAAAGGTAAAACGAAAAATTATATTTCCTACTGAAATCACCAGTTCCGAAAGTGATGGAGAGGATTCGGCAAATAATTATTCTCCTTTTCAATCAAAGTGTTCTGAAAAGAAAGTGACAAAAAATAATTCACCTGAAAATTCTGTTTCATCAAAATTTATTAATTCTGAAAATATGGTTTGTTGTATATTTTGCAGAAAAGAATTTGAGAGTAAACAAATGTGGAATAAGCAGTTTTGTTGTGAAGCAGCTAGTAAATTTAAAGATACTAGTGATCAATATGTTTGTAAATTGTGTAATACACAATTTTCACAGCAACAGCATCTCCAAAAACATTTACAGGGACATCAAAGAAACAACTGTCGACTGTGCAATGCCCAGTTTACTAGAAGAAAATTACTATGTAAACATTTGAGGCTAGTGCATAAAATATCAGAATCTGAAAAATTTTATTATTGCTCTTATTGTGATCGAAAATTTTTTAAACGACCTTCACTTTATAGTCATTTAAAAGAGCATGCAAATGGAAAAATTGTATGTACAAAATGTGGTGCAATGAATGATAATGAAGAAATGCATCAAATACATATGAATAAGCATGCAGAGGATGCAAAATATCATTGCGATCGTTGCGATGAAAAATTTGTTCGCCGACAACAGTATGAACAACACATGACTGGTCACGATAAACATGTATGTACGCTTTGTAATACAAATTTTTCAACAAAGAAACATTTTATTAAACATCGCCAAATGGTTCATGGAATTCAAATAAAAGAAGAAAAGAAGCATGAATGCCAGATATGTAATAAACGATTTCAACGTCCAACACTTTTGCAGCTTCATCAGCGCATTCATACAGGAGAACAACCAATTCCATGTTCTCATTGTGATAAAAGTTTTCGTACTGCTAAAGCATTGACTAAACATATGAAAACAGCTAGCCATCTTAAACATGTTGGAGAAAAAGAAGGGAAAAATATAGAGTTAGAAAAACCATTTTTATGTGCACAGTGTGGTGCAAAGTTTTATCGTAGGCAAGGTCTTCTTCGTCATATGCAACAGCTTCACAGTGATGGTGAATTATTTGAATGCCCACATTGTGATTATAAATGTAAATGTAAAACAAATCTCAAAAGGCATATGGAATTACATACAGATAGGAGGCGTTTTGTTTGTGAGATATGCGGAGCTGCTTTTCATGCATTTGCAACTCTAAAGGAACACAACGCATATGTTCATTCTGAAGTTCGGAATTTCACCTGTGAACAGTGTGGAAAAGGTTTCAAAGGAAGGAGTGGCCTTAAAAGACACATGCGTATACATAGTGATGCTCGTCCATATGTTTGTCATTGTGGTCAGTCATATAAAAGAATGTCACACCTCAAACGCCATATGGTATCAGCTCATCAAGTAATATTTAAGAGCAAAAGGGTTAAGCGAATTAATGCTCAAGATTCATCTGATGCTGATACTAATCTTAGTGCTCAAGATTCCACTGCAGAATATAATACTGCAATTGATGGCCTTCAAGATACTTGTGATGGATTCTCTGTGATGTTAACATCTAGTGATAATAATTTTATGCATAATCCACAGAACACAAATGATAATGTATTATTAAATTCTAATTCTGAAATGGATAGAGTAGCTTTAGCTCAGGTAAACAACAATTCTGATTATATTTTAGTTTCCTCTGTTAAACTACCATCTTATTTAGATAAAACAAATGATCTGCAAGCAATAAATGGAAGTGAATCTGTGGTTCTTGATATAGTAAAAGATAACTCTTCAGTCTCTGGACCTCTTGTTTCTCTTTTGCAATCTCAAGAACATTTGGCATCTGGAGCATCTTCAGTTTTACAAGACGTTCCACCATCTACAGTTCAGTTGCAAAATTTAGATCATCTTGCAATCTCTTCAAATCATTTTCAATCTCTGAATACACCATCACAAACACCAATATCATCTGAGCATTTAGTGACTTTAGGTTTAACAGGACCTACGTTACATCTCACACCACATTTATCATCATCTATGTCCGAAGGAGGAAACTCATCATGTTCTGTTACAGAATCTACATCTGCAGATATGCAAATAATATCGTTACATAACAATCAATCATCACTTTCCATTGAGACCAATAATACATCTTTGGCAAACATTCATCACCAGGAAGTAGCAGCTTCCCTCTCATTTGCAAAATTACAGAATGTTCAAGCTACTCATCATTTGAATATGTCATATCAGCACGAATTAGAATCTGTTCATCCAGTTTCTACAGATATTATTCATCCATCGGCAGCCGACTCCCAAACGACGACTATTTGGGTCACCACATCAAATACTCATGGGCAATCAATGGTTTCTCAGTCTCCACTTGTAGTAGCTAAGGTTACAACTGTCATGACTAATGATTCCACCTCAATTAGTCCTTCAATTTCTAATAGTCTTCCTCCTGAATCATCCATGGTTAAAATGTCTTCTACCTCTGTACCACTTCAACTCTCAAACAATAATGATATTTTTCCCAATGGGCATACAGCCATCCATACATCATCTAGCCTTCAACCTCAGGAACTGAATTCTCTAACTCCGCAGATGTATACTGATAGCATTTGTAAATTTTTGCCTGTTATTCCCCATTAGTAATTTTTAATAATAGAAATTTGCACTGGTTTGTTTACAATCACAGAGAAGCTTTACAGATTATTATACATTTGCTAATATGAATGTTGAATAACTCAATTTGTTGACAGGTTTTTGTATGATAATACTTAAATGTTAGCTCTTTTATTCTCCCCGATCCAACTTACGTGTATGCATCGGGAAAGACAAATTGATTTGGTGCTGTTTTGTGCTAGCATTTGTTTGATAATGTTGGTATGATTGAAGTTATGAGTGTTGTTAAAATTTTGTATTTTGTTTCATACGATGGCAGAATCATCACTGCCATTTTTGTTAATAGGATATCCAGAGGATCATAGATCAATATTTAAACTATATAGTCAATAGTTTTCATGTTGAGTATTGATAAGTTTTCTAACTATTAGTAATTCTTATAAGAATTAGATATAATTATTAGTCACATTACAGTTTTATTTTGTGATTTAATCAAATCTTAATCATTGATTGCAAAAAATATAATTTATTTATAAGTAATTATAAAACAAACACCATTTAAAATTATTTTTACAAAATATGAAAATATCAGTTCTTTTTATTTATTTAGATAATTTAATAATTGTTAGATACGTTTCTCCTCATGTTTCTAAATTTGTTAACTTTCTTTTCCAATTTTTGACAATTTCTAAGTAAAAATATAAAATGATTTGAAATATTCCAATTAAGTAAATAACTACTAATAAATTGTCTGTAACTATCAATCATTATGAGGGTCATACAAAAGATTTTTATTAAATATTCCACAATTCTAAAATGCCTTATGCTTAAAAAAAAGTGAACATTAAAAACAAACAGGAGAGATATCATTATAAAAATGTTCCAGTTAGTCTTCAATACAGTGCCTTTCTGCATCTCTGATTTGTTTAGAATTCTATCTACATAAAATTTTGTTTCAATTTGTGAATGATAAATAACACAATAAAAATGGACATGTAACATTTAATGAATTCAAAAAAATAATTGTTAATTTAATTTAAAAATTTCAAAGTTTGAAAGACTTACTGTTTCTTAAGAAAACATTTTCGTCTTTCCATTTTGGAATATTTGAATGGGAGATAATTCTCTAAGAACAAATAAAATTGATATTATTTTCTTAATTGTTAGTTTATAATACTTCCATTAATGCCATTATATTAGAAAAAACTTTTTTCTACAATTATGATATTGAAACTAAGTAACTACAAACCATGATGAAGACTAAAACTGATTTGATATTCTTGTCAAAGATGTGTACCAAAAGAAATGCCATTTTAAAGATTTTTAAAACAGTGGATGTACATTGTTGCTATGTTAAGAACCAATAATGTTAATACTAATCTAATAATAAAAATTTTCACTATGATTCCAGCTAATAAGTACAAAATAGCTCATTCCACTTATGTTTTGTAAATGAAATTATGTAAAGAAAGTTACGATAATTATTATAAATTAAATTACAGTTCACTTGTTATATAAATATTCATTCTTTATTATTAAAAAAATTATTCCTTATGTCTAAAATTAATCATGGTGCTAGGACTAGTTTTAATATATCAGTGGCCTTGCTACAAAACTCTGCTCAGCAACATTATCCGATTTTAGAAATATTTAAAATGGTTTTAAAAACAATAAAATTACATTAAAATGTCAGTGATTTTACAAAATAATTGAAATTTGTCTTAATATTAAATATAATTTTGTTTGAAAGTTTAATATTAATTTATTTGAATATTTAAAATTTTTCTTTTTTATGAAATTTAGTTTAATCAATATATAAATTATTGTGTTAAGTTTTCAGATCATTTTTCTTATAAAATTTCTTTCTTCCTAGATTTGTATCCAATAAAATGCCAATATTCTTCATTATTCCTTTTCCTAGGTAATATGCAACTTTGTGGTATGTATAAAAACTTTTTCATGTTCTTGAATTATGAAGTTATCAAAATTTTAGGTTTTTAAAATAATTTTCAATGTTAAAACATTACAAAAGGCCTTAAAGCCTCTTAACAGATACCATAATGTACATCCACTAATGTATTTTGGTAACTGATTTGATTGTTTTGGCAAGTGTCTGTGCTCCTGTTTAAATATGTTTACAAAAATTTTAAATGAATTGCCCTCTTTTTCTGGCATTTGAGCATTATATTCATATATAAGAATGTATGTTTATGCATATATATGTACATCTAATTTTAATTTTATTTTTTGATGATTTAAGCAATAGAAAGATATAAAATTTGTAGAGTTTTCTGTTGAGAAATGTCAGCATTTAAATAGTAATCTGTGGATTTGTTTTTATGCTTTTCATCCATATATATATGTTCTTGTAGTTATTAAATTTGGCTATAATAGCCATTAGATACAGACTAAATTACACACACAAATTTTGTAAGTTATTTTATTATTATTGTCAAAGGTGAATGGCAGAATAAGTGTTAACATACCTATTGTCCAGTTCTCGAAGAAAAATTGCAGATCGGCAGAGGAGGGCCATAGTAAAGGACAAAATGCATACTGAGATTTAAAGTAATCAATCAAGATTTTGAGGTGTGTCTAATGGTTATTATATCCAAATTTAATAATTATATGAATAATCTCTAGAACTTTGTCTTTTCTTTCCTCCCTACTCTAAACAAGAAAGGAAAATATTAAATACTTTTATAGATTCATGTGGAAGAATTTAAATATATATAAACAGTTGGAGACAATAGGGGAGAAAAAAGTTTTGGTGACCTTCATAAATCCTGCATCTTTTAATATTAGGAAAGGAAAAATTTATATATTCAAGATGTCAAATGCTGTGTGTGAATTTTTCTGGTGTAATTGGATTTCCTATATTTGTTAGTAGTTTTATAAAAAAAAAAAAAAAAAAACCATAGTGAAACAATCGTTTAATAAAGCAGTTTGATTAATTCCCTTTGCTATTTACACCCACTTGCTAAATGAACAAGCCATTTTTTAATCAATCTTTTGGAAATAAAATAAAAAGAAATAGGATAGTTATTTAAGAACTAGCAAACTTTTTCGATTTATATTTTCATATCCGCAAACTCGCAAATTATTGCACTATTATCGAATTTTCACAGTTTATACATCAGATTTTTTGGAAACTCTACTAACCCCCCCAAAAAAAAAACAATTATATACTATTTTTTGTTTTTCTAGAATTATAGAATTTTACATGGCTTTTAAAAATAAATGTCATATCGATTTATATCCAGATCCGTGCTTTACACATTTAAAAAGAAATCTATTAATTAATTCTTAAAAAACGCGTAGAAAATTTACTTCCCTAACGAAATTTTTAATATAAAAATGAAAATTTGCGCTCAAATTTAAAGAAGGATCAAATATAAATCGAAAAAACAATCTCCATTCTACACTTATTAATTTTTTTAGATAAAGTGTTTATAATAAATACGTATACCATTTAATCTGAATAAAACAAAAATTTTAGAGAATAGAATTTAAAAATAGACGAACGAAATTCGTCTTTGGATAATCATAATAGTGCCTCTTATTATTAAAAAAAAATAATAATAATAATTCATCTTTTTCGGTGTAACATTTATAATGTTTTTTGTAGCCAAAATAACTTTCGATGGGATGAAAATTCAGATGCAATTGGAATATATAACATAGCATTTGACTACTTGATTGTATCGATTTTTATAATAATTTCCTTTAGAATAGGACGTCAACATGTGTACTGTAACTTATGGCTTTCAATTTTTTTTTGACTTTTTTGTTCTCGTTTAGCATGAGTATCCATTTTATTCGTATTGCCAATCTTTGTATATCAAGTGTTTATTACACTGGCCAAACACCAAAACAAACACTTGGCGTGTTAGTCAACGTGTTTTAATTTTTAACTTTTCACATCGTGCATTTAAATTAAGAATATTTAACAGAATTCTACCGGAAATGATATATATATATATAAGACCAAGTAACTAAACATATTCCGATTTCTTCTGTCTATAAACTAGAAATTCATTGGCTTGGTATCCGGAATGGCTTAACCTAATTGCAGTTTCGAATCTCGATCTACAACGATTTTAATTCATTTCAGAAATTGTTTAGTTATTGATTTAAATTGGGAGATGGATACCGGTCTATCATTAGGTCAAGTTTGGGAATTAACATATTCTAGCCTATAAATAAATGGAAATCGGGTAATGTTTGGTTAGTTAATTTTGTATTTTCTTTAACGATTTACAATTATTAGTGATTAAGTATTGTACTATTATTTTGTTTTTTATATTAAATTATTAAAATTTAATATCACCTTTTTGGCATAGTTTCCGTACAACACCGAATAGTGTTCTTTATCCACGTCTTCCCGTTTCATTTTCGAAAATTTGCTTTATTTTTTCTCAGTCTCAAGTAAATTTTCTAACGATTTTTCTTTCATTTTATATTCATACAGAGATGGCAATAACAATTTCTAGTCAATTTATTCTATATAGAAATTTGTAATGTTAAGAAAAAAAAAAAAATAATAATAATAATAATAATTCAAAGTAGACGATTGATTGATTCCATGTTTAGTGTGTGTATGAATAGACGACTTCAATTTTCTGTACTATTTATGGTATCCGTTATTATACTGTATAATGCAAATTTAAGATGTTTGTAACACAGTGTATAACTGGTTTAAAAAAGAAATCATAATAATAATAATAACTTTGTCGAATTTAAAGAAAAAAAAAAACGGGTATACCGCAAGAATATTTATGACTTTTTTTAAGATAAAAAAAAATCTGGTGATGTTTAGATTAATTCAGTATTTGATGTACAATCACAGTTTGTGCAGCTTTGCAGTTTCGTAAACGGATTGAAAGGAGACAATTGATCAGAGAATTAAATAATAATAATTAAATTTACAATTAAACAATTTTGGAGAGTTTTTACGAACATTTTACGTAGTACAAACACTTTAAGATGCATTTTTTTTTTTTCTGAATCTTTGTACATAAACCTTGTCGATTCATTTTTGAATTATCGAAAGATTATTTTTTACTCGTAGGACCGCGCACCGTGTTTAAAATTCTATTTTATCCGATAATTAAGTTGTTAATTATTAAATTAACCGGTCTTCCCGCAGCTAATTTATTGGTATAGTTCGAAATTTCAATGGGTATGTCCTCCCCAACCACCAAATGTCCTAGCGTCATAACTTATCCATGCAAAAAAAAAAAAAAATTAACGGGATGACAGGCTGACCATTTGTAGAACTATACCAATATATTCGGAATAATTGTTTTAAATACAAATTTACATCGTCTCTATTCATTTTTTCCCGTATCGAATGTGTTGATTTTTTGTGAAGCTATTGTAAAAATTTGATGTCAACTTCCTGTGATATATATATGTATAGTATATATGATCATTGCAATTATAGGGGAGCGAAACGTTTTATCTTCGCCGTAAACACACAATCTTATCGAAATTAATTATTTAAAAAAAACAAACAAACAAACCAAGTCGGAACGAACGAAAGAATATATTAACGAGGACCACAGTGGTAGTTTGTACGAAATGACGCGGGGCCAAAATGAAAATAATTAAATAAATAAATAATAAGAATTTAATTAATTAATTCATTGTAAAGTTTCACGAGCTTTGATGGTTGTCAATACTGTTAATGTGATATATTTTTGTGTTGACATGCAGTATGCACTATTTGTGACCACTTCCTTGTGTGCTTGAATGATCATGTTTACGATTTTCTATATTATAGAATTTGATGCGCTTGTATTTCACTATACAATGTATGTTTAGATGGATTAGAACTTGAGTTTGAAAAAGTCCAATAAAAGATATATATTTTCAATTTTTTCCCCCTCTTATTTTCGTGCAGAAATGCGTTTTCAAATTACCCGATCGATCATCCGTGAAATTTAACACCGTCGAAATGTTTATTCTAACCGACAGATGGCGCCAGATAAAATCTGGAAGCGCTTCTAACACACGGTATTGTTTTATGTAGAATACACACGTTTTACTGTAATTTTCCGGTGTTTGTTAGTTAATTTTAAACGTAAATTGGGCGCTTCTATAAATTGTTTAGCAATCGTTTTAGATTAATCTATAATCGTCATTTTTTTTCTAGTTGCGCCAACCCCAGCGGAACCTCCAGGTCCATCGTGGGTGGAGGTTCCCCCAGAAACAGCACGCGCTTCGACGTCCACCCGATATTTCGCCGGCCTTCCAATTTCCGAAGCAGAACGGATATTGGAATCTTTTAATCCGGAAAGAATACATCCGAAAAGTAGGGCCAATCGACTTTTATTGACAAAAAAAGTGGAAGCTCTCGTCATTTATTTTTAGTCAGGGTCCTCTGTTTCTCCGCGTGCTCCACGATTTTCTCGTCCACGGCCAGACCTTTCCTCCTCCTCACCGCGTTCATGTATTTCCTGGCTCTGTTCTCGGTGTCGGCCTTCTCCCCGAAGTGCAGATACTCCTCTTCGGTGGTGGGCACCCAAAACGGGTCCAAGTCCAAAATCTGAACGAAAAAGAATAACTTTCACTGACGTTCCAGCGTTCGATTTTATGGAATATCGTGGGAAGATCCGCACGCAGCGGGCGATCTCCCCTTTCCCGTGCGAGGGGGGATAACTCCTAAATATGCCCCTTTGATGCCGAACACCGAGGAAGCGCTCGACGGCCCCCTACCGGCTTAAGTAGGCAATTAATCAATGGCCAGATCCTAATTACCTTTTATTAGATGCATCCGGTGATAAATATACGAATCATCGAAGAGGGAAATTCTTCCGAGGGTGGCGCAATCCGGTTCGAAATTCCCCACCCACATACGTCGACCCCGGCTCTATCTGACCCGTCCGATAATTGTCCCCTCTCTATTAATATCTTCCATTATTCCCGCTCGGGAGGGAGTCCCGCGACAGGATCGTTAGCCTCCGAAAGGAGCGTTAAATGCGGGAAAACTTAACGAAGCGGAGTGGGAGGCGCGAACGGGCGGGCGAGATCTTGGGGAAAGTCGCTATAAACGGGAGGCGGGGGTTAAAAAAACGCATCGGGCCAACGACGTCCCCTCGTTCAAACGGGATATCGAGCGATGTCGGGCAGAAGCGGATAGAAAATGTGACCCCGCATACAAGCCACATCCGGATTATCTAAGCCCGAAATGCGTGGTTCTCCCTCGTCCGTTTCCTCCCTAATCCGAAAGTGTTCTTTACACCTCCCCCTCCGACGAAACGGTAATTTTTCGGTACCATCCGGTGAGAGAGGTGGCGCGGGCGGACTTTGGTCTCGAAACGGGCGTTTGGCCCGCCTTCCCGACGACTTTTTAAGGTACGAGGTCTGGGGAGGCGCGAGGGGATGTACTTTTCAATAAATCTGTCCAAATACCCATATCCGGGTTAGGAGGAAGTGGGGGAGGGGGCGCTTGGGCGCTTGGACGCTTTCGGTCACGTAACGACCTTTACCAAACGTTCTCGTACCCCGGGGCTCCCGCTTCCCGATGTTTTCCGGGAGATCGGTCAGATACGGAACACAATACTCTTATCTGCAGAAGACTTGTCTTTTGTTCTTAATTTATACTTACATCCCAATGGCTGAATAGCAGCTGGGGACAGGCCATTCCGCTCGTTTGTTTTCGGATCTCGTTAGCGAAGTCGAAGCTCTCGGCGATTGGCAACACGGCCGTGATATCGAAAGTTTGGCAACCTTCCCTCATGTCGCTGTGAAGGATCCTTCCGTGCCTTCGGCCCAGAACGGCGTACATTTTGCCTGAAACGAAAATAATAATAATTAATTATCGAGTATCTCGTAAACGTTTCGAAGAAATCGTGCCGCTGACGTCATTTCCTAAGTTCTTACTACGCCTCATTTTGGTCCGGTCACGAACGTCGACGCGCGAGATTCCCATTGTTTTCGTCGACAATGCCATCGGATGCAAAACGATTATCTGTACGCAACGCGGGTAAAATGAAATCTCTTCCATCACACAACGTGGAAGGGGAGGGAGAGATAGTGTGCCGTTTCGGGGTTCTCTCCCTCTTCACCCCCTAGCGGTTCTAAATCCCTTTTGTGTGTTGTTTACGTTTTCTAATCCGGAATCTAAATTGGGGCGTATAAACAATTGACATTTAGCGTCCGAGAATCCGGACGCCCAACCCCGAGTCCCCCGGGGCCTGTCCCACTCCCAGTCTCCCAACCCTACGTCTTGCGATACACCTGTTTCGCCTTCATCCCAACACCTGTGTCCTACACCTGATCAAACACGGTGGGATATGACACCCACCAAAAAAATATCGCCTCCCCGTCATTTCTATTTCCGAAAACTTCGCCATTCGGTACGTTACGAAATTCTACTAATGCCGAACGTCACGTAAGCAATTACAGCAACTCGCTACCACTACGCGTCCTTGCCGTGTTATCGAATTCCCCTGTTACGTCACGTGAAACGTTCGCGAAAGTCCAAGTGCCTTTCTTTCCCTCTCCCCTCCCCTCTCTCCCGAAAGATGTAAACTGGAAAGAATGGCCGAAGAGATTTTTAAAGCTGGGTTTAAACAGAGTAGAGAAGCTAATTAGCGAAGGAGGGGAAAAGATGGCGCGATTTTTTTTGGTTCCCCGTCACGGCTATGGTTGCAAAACCACGTGACCTGTTTTTCTGTTTCCTGTTTCGTTCCCCGTTCGTGTTATTACAGCGATTATGTTGACAAGTAATATCTAACGAGAAGTCGCTTAAAGTCCGCAAAGAGCAGGCGGTTGTTGAACTGATTGATGCCGTACCCGGCGCGTTGTAACGAATTTGGCAGGGGTGCACGCGCCGATTTACACCCCTTTTAATGCTCGGAAACGTTTACTGTCGACGAAAACTGCATTTATTACAACGATTAACTATCGTCAATCCGATCGAGAGAGAGCGATGCGTGAGAGGGGAGGGCTGATGTCCTGGCTCCTCGCGCTTCACTTTCTTTTTTCAAACCTGGCCGAGGTTTAGAATTTATAAGACCACTTCCTGATGACGTGCCCGGCTTTTTAAAAATCTCTTCCCAACATTTAACAGAGGGAGGAGGGAGATTGCAGCGAATTCCTGCCTCGACACAACGCAGAAAATTAGGACTACTTATCTAAACGACTTCCTGTCACGTGAGGTCGAGCCTCCGACATGGCTTCGTGACGTCCGAAAATGACATAACTGCGCCCGGACGCCGGACTCGGCCAATAATTGAATGTAAATTAACGAACGGGGTCGTCACGATTCCGTATCTCTGCAAAACGGCTCTTACGTATCCGAAAGGGAAGATGCGGAGCGCCAAAACGTCGACTGCCGGTCACGCGCGCAAAAAAAAGAAGGAAAAATACGTTTATTCCTCCGATAAGATCAGTTCTTTTTTTTTCGTAAAAATTTATAATGGTTGGCAGATAAGAGAGAGAAAGGCCGGTCGGGGAATAACAGGATCTATCGGCGTTGCTGGAAACGAGACCAACTGACCGGAAATTGCGTCACGGGGACGGAACGGTGTCGAGAGCCGAAAGGTATACAAAACGGTTCTAACCCTTCTGGTCCATGAATAGGATGGGTGAAAAGGCCACATGATTAATGTTTCTGCCGGCCAAATCCTCACCAGGTGTGGCCGAATCGATTTTTCAATGAAAGGAGGCAAAAGAAATGGATTTACAACAGTTAAGGGGCAGCAACCCCTTGTTAATCTCTTTTTAACTTTGTCTTTGGCAGTAGGCGATTCTCTGTCCAATAAAAGGGATCGATAATGTTAACGCGGCTTACAGCCCTCCATTGTTAATTCCTAAATATGAAAAATGAGTCGTTCCTGCCGACATTTTTTTGAGGGGGGGACGGGGGTAGGTGCATATTTTATGCCTATTTACTCTCGATTTTCCCAGGCTAATTGGCCGACTCCTCGCACATAGCCTAGCCATTATTCCCTATAGTGGCAACAAACAATGAAGCAGCGCGATTTAGCAGGTCAGCGCACTTCCCTTCGACACAACCGTGAGGCCGCAAGATGAGTCAGTGGAAAATAGCCCCGAGTCCTTGCCAGATTGCTGGAGTCGGTAGTGGCTGAGGCACTTTCATTGGCGACGTCCCCCTGGAGGAAGCTTAATTGCCGCCGACCACGCCAGGGTCACAACACCTCTGGAATGTCCGAAACCCTCGAAAAAAAGGGTCCCAGCGGAATTTCTTAAACGGCAGGAAGTGGCCAAGTAAGAACAGCCTTAGGACATTGGCTGAAGTACTAGTTTCCGTCCTGTTTTTTTGCCCCCCATCCTCTTTTTCTTTTCAATCTTCTTCCATTCATCTGCTTATCGTAGTTATGTCGTGTGAGCCGGACGGAAAAACCAGAACCGATGGTTACTCCGCCGTAATGGCCACTCGAATTTTACGAGCCAAAGATCTCTCTTCAGATTAGGAGGATGCCCTTTGGCTCGAAATTATTCTACGCACGTTCGCTACCCTCTTTTATTCACTCTTCCATGATGGATAAAGGAGGAGGAGGAGGGGGGAAACCACACATTTCTATTTTAACCGAAACTGGTTTCCCTTAGCACCGTTAGAGCTGCGGTTTCGCCCGGATTAAAACTTTTTTTTATTCCTAATTTATCCCTAACTCTCAAGGGATTACGACCGATTCTCGAGTTTCTTCCCTAAGTTCCTGACGAAAGGGGTAATAAATCTCTCCGATCGGCCGAGAATGTTATGGTGTCGATGTTTGTTCTAAATCGAGTGATAAATAAGCTCGTCGGGGCGGAAAAAAACAATTTCAAAACACATAAATCGAAGCGATTTCGAAACGCCGCGACGTCTACAGTTTCTAATACTATGTTTGGGTATTTTTCAGTTGTTGACTTACTATGGGTCGGGTGCATTAGTCAACAATATGTAGAAAAAGTCTAAAAGGGTATTTGGCCGGAAGCCAGGACAGATACTGAGAATTTAATGGATTATAATTACTACCCCCTACTCGCTCTTCCAGGTTTTATCGAATACTTTCTTGTAAGTTGTCTATCTGTCGTTCAATCCTTTCACTCTTGAGGCAATGGCTTCTAAGAACCACTCGAAAACCCATAAACACCAACAGGAAGTATTAGAGTGGCTCGAACCTTATGTAGATACCCCTATTGTTTCATATACACCCCGTGAGATTTCGTAAGAACTGAAAAGGGGAGTGGAAGCGAAGTTTAGTGTTCGATGCCCATGCCGATTCGCTCGATTAAACACAGATAAGATGCGATCGGACGATTATCGCCTCCGATCGGATATCCTCCACAAAACAAAACAAAAAAAATAATAATTATTAATTAATGCCCAGTGCATTTATCGAGTTAGTTCCCATGAAAAGTTAAAATCATTTCCATGAAAGCCCTAGAGGAGGTGCGAGAAACAGAAATGATCTTTAAGGAAATTCAAGGTCTTGTTTCTTTTTTAACGAGTAAGAAGAGATAATCGAGAAGAAGAGGCATTCCTCTTGATGACTTTTTTTTTTGTAAACCGTACAGGTTTTGGGTCATGCAAAAGGGCGAGCGAATTTCAATAAGCAGAAAAGGGGTTACACCATTTCTTCCCCTTTTTAACGCTCCCATTTCCGAAGCCAGTTTTGATTTTTGTATTCAACACAATTAGAAAAAGCTCCGAGGCACCCGTGGCCACTCCGAATTAAACAGGTTTGTCGGTTGGGTCCCACGTTTTGTAAATAAGAGAATTCACTCGCCGGAATACTAATTAAAAGTTATGTATCATCCGACGCGTAGAAGGGTTGCCACACTCGTAAGATTCCGTCCAACGACCCCTTTAAGAGTGTAAAAAAATAAAAATAAATAAATAAAATTTCAAAACCCAAAAAATTGCGGACGGATCTCCATTTATCACAATCCGCGGGTCAAGTCCCCCTTCTTGACTCCTCCACAAATAGTGGAAACTGGCCAACCAATCTCTTTCGAGGCGCAACAAAGGAAGAGTCTGTAAATTACTTCGATTTGCATGCAGAGTCACACTTGATATTCACAAACTGGTAAAAGGGACGGAGAGAAAGAAGAAGGGGGGAAAAAAGCGGTATCTCTGCTTCCAACCCGTTTGGGACGCCTATTGTCGTCGATTCATCCGGCGATAATGCAACTCGGGCCTCGTAGTTGTAACAAGAAGGCAGGGGGCTCTTAGCCCTGCAAAGAAAGGGAATCGGGGCCCATACATTAAAAGGATCGATCTATCAAACTGCTGACATAATAAAGTGCAGTATACTGATCGTGTTTGGTTATCGATAGACCGTGCACAACCATTATAATAATAATAATACTAAAAAGAGAAAAAACTTCCCGAATTTCCTCGACGGCACCGTTACGTGTGGCACTAAAACGCCAAGAGAGCTCTCTAAAGGGGGGAGGGGGAAGATCGGATATTTAAAAAAATAAAATCTCCCGGCGCCGTTGACACCCCGAGTTAACCTTAAGAGTCTTAATGAGATTTCGGAACGGAAACGGGGACAAAAGCGACGACAAAACAGAAGCCTCTCCCACGCAATCACACAATAAAAATTAGCGAAGGCGTCATCCCCGGTCCCTTTCTTTCGGGCCCTCTCCGTCAGACTTTAATACCCTCTTTCTAAAGATGGCGCGCGCAACACTTTTCGAAAAATTGTCGACCCACTTATTATTATAGGGCAGTTAAGTCAGAAGAGCGGAGAGGAAGCGGTGAAGAGAACATCAAAAAAAAAGAAGGGTGAGGCGAGGGGGGACGTCGGTCCAAACGGGGGGAACCGAGATGTGGGAATGAATCGGACGCATTGACAGAACGGCTTATTTCCCGCGTACTTTCGTACGAAGGACGCGACCCGTGACGTCATACGGGGCGGGAGAAATTGGGCGTCACGTGATGCGTACGTGACAACAAGAGTGAGGGACCTCCTACGGCCAACACGTGCTCGTACACACTACCTGTTCCATCCCTCTCCGCGTCTACCTGCCACCCCTGAAGGTGAAGCGAAGTAATCCCGGTCCACAGTCATTCATGGTTGACTCGCTATAAATAATCACGTAGTAGAACGTCGTGCAAGGGAAAGCTTCAATGAGGGAGTAAGCGAACCACCTTGATGAGTAGACGTGCAACCGTTAGCGTGTTAAAAGAGCGGGAAAAATCTTACGTCGGATTCGCAGCTATGGAAACGCGGTTTGTGGCTAGTTGTTTGATTGTGTTATTCCTGACCGGTAGGCCTTCGCTCTGCGGACGTTTGATGGCCAATTTCAGGCACAAGGTGGCATACAGGATCTACTACCAGAACGGGGTAAGTGCTTTTTAAGCTATGTCGGAGCGGGGAAGGACTACGGTGGCCTTTTTTTCGGCCGGACGTTGGCCATGGCCTTCGTCGAAAGCGCACGTTTGCCGGGTTTAGAACTTTCCAGACGTCGAGCTAGCGAAGTGGGATGGTACCCCCGAGGCCCGGGCTGACTTCCTGTGCAAGAGACTGCCTAGTATAGCCTCCAGGCAGGTGCCTGGGTAAATAGTGTGAGAAAGTCTTCTCCCAACTAAACTATTAATCACGTAAATATATTTTTTTTTTATTCTTCCTGCCCTCTTCCGTTTATCGCATTACCCACCGAATTCAAACACCTATGGGTAGCACTCGGGGCGTCAGCCGCTCGCTTCCAAATTATTCCTTGGCACACGGATATTCCCGGAAGATTATTTTCCGGTCCGGGTCTTCGGGAATGGGACATTTGTTTTAATTTCGGAAGCTCGGGCACGGCCAGAAAGGCTCACGTGATCGGAAACGGTAGACAATCTCCGCATTAATCGGCGTATTGTCTACGAAATTAATTGTCTCGGGAGTAAATACGGGTTGCGTAATCTCTTGGTGAGGCGCTTGGAAAACGAAAGAGAGAAGGCCGGCATCCCCTGGAGAGGGGAGACGAAGGGCCAAAGTAACTGGTATGGCCGACCAGCAGGTGTTTTCAGAAACGAGATTGAAAAGTTGTGCAAAAAGCATAGTGATCTTTCACGCATATCCATTGAAGAACTGTACCGTGCATTCTCACGTTCGCATATTGTCACGGGAAGGGGAACATTTACGACCGGTGTCGAGTGTGAGAAGGTTCGGTTCGCCCTTCTACCGAACACCCTGCAACCTCCATTAACCCAGCAAACGGACCACACAAACCTACATAAAAGCCCGTTTTATTATGGGAATGGGCAGTTTTGTCGGCCGAGCAGCCAGGAGATGGGAAAGTACACGCTACGTCTGTATTGACACGGTTCCGTTCTGTCCAAGACGTCGGACAGTTTTTATCCCCCCTCCTCCTCCACCCGGCGTGGGTTTAATGTTCTCGTGTCCAGAAGAGCATTCATTTTTCCCCCGTTGCTCGGTAGGTGAGCATGACCATAGAAACAAAACCATTTAGGTGGGGCGCCAAGCCATCGTTAAGAAAGAAACCCAGGCGTGATTATCGGCCCGAATGACAACCTGCCCAGTCTATTAAGCGCTTTTTCAGCCGCGCGCCACTTTAATGGAGAAAATGGGCCGTGGGGGAGCGAAGAAAAACAAAAGGACGGAGCGACTTTTCTGCAAAAACGGACCAAGTTTTGACTAATGGACCAGCTGCTCGCTTCTGCCTTGTTCCGCAGATTATCTGCTTCAGTTCACTTTCCCACACAAGCGAAGCCTCACTGGCTGCGGCAGGACAATCTTGGCTGGGTGGATAATTGTTTCAGGAAGTTCGCGGTTATTTTTATATCATTTGGCGTGTCCAAGTACTTACTATTAGTTAGCGAGGCAACCTAGAGCGGGAGGAAAGAAGAAAAAAATTGGAACGGTTTCGAAACCTCCGCTCCTATCCCCCCTATTCCCACCTCGTGGACGTTATGCCACGCCGGCCATGCCTTATCCTTAAAATTTTCGACCTCGTTAACGACGCCCGAATCGCGGGCGTGATTCAATTTAAAACCAAGCATCCAGCAGGCCTTGAACCAACTGTGTTTTCGTCCAGTTTGCTAGTCCTTGCCATACTCTTCCCAGTCGTTCTGGGTGGTTTTTGTTTACCACTGTCACTTGGAGGTTTCCACCCAGAGGGTGTTGTACCGCAGGAGTGGACGCACTTCCGCTATTACGTCACAAAACCCTTACACGTGCCGGAATACAAACCGCGAACGACCGACCTCTTTTGAGCCGGTGGGTGGTTAAATTTACGCCATTGCCTCCGTTACGTTTTTTTAATAAAAAAGAAAAAATGCCAACGGAGACGAGACCCAGAATTTGGCGCCAACGTAAAAGTACGCAATCGCCAACGGGAAATACCCGTTTTTTGAGATCGGCAGTGTTCATTCAATCCGTAAGATTAGAGGACCGGTTGGAACAGGCGACAGGATGTTGGCAAACAGGGTGGAGATGACAAATGAAGACATCCACCAAGATTTATGTACGCTAGTGTCCTTCACAAGGTGACACGATAGGAGGCCACGCCAAATTCCTAACGTGTAGAACCTCCGGATCGCGTTTCTTGGCGGGAAATTTCGAAAGTAAAACGGCTTCGTTCTAATAATATCATCATTTTTTTTTTTACAGAATGCGGACGACGATTTACCCGAATGCGCTCCCTGGTCGGTTTGCAACAGAGTGGACACCTACTCCACACCCTGGGTCGAGAAACAGTGCAGATGTCCGGGTAAACACACCTGTTCCATGAGCATCGATGCAAGAGATGGGCACACCGTCGTCGACAAATCGAGGCAATTTAAGGTAATGGTGGCTTTTCCGCGGGACGTGCCACCCGATTCCGTAGTATTCGATAACAACTAATTCCACCTTTCTTCCGCCTCTCTTTCAGATATGCGAAAATGTCGTTAAACTGCCGGCCTGTAGGTATTTCCGTGACGTGACGTGGTCTTACAGTACCCGTCCCGATAACACAACGCAGCAAGTTATGCACTGCCTCTGCCCAAAAAACAGCGTGGCTTATATTTTCAAACACCAAGCCTTTCAAACAATCGACGGTTACGGTTACAGATATTTATTCGCCTGTTCGCCTCAGAGCGTAAGTAACCTTTTTTTTTTTTTCATCCCCTTCTTTTTCTTCTTCACGCGACTAAACGTCATATAACTTTTTTTTTATTTTCTTCTAAGTATTGTTATTCTTCTACAGCGCCTTAGATGCCAACGAAAGGAACCATGCAGGCTTTTTACGGTCAAAAAACGACCGGACGTCGAAGAGGTCAACACTAACACTTTGTGTCAATGTCCTCACGGTTATACGTGTCCTCAGCATCATACCGAACCGAGCGTCATCACGGGCACTTCGTATCCTCAAGAACACATAAGGACTTACAGTGGATATTGCGCACCCCAATATCTTTAGTCGCTGGATGTTTCGTACCATCCAACGAACTTATAATTATGTACATAACATGTTTGGTATCAAGTGTGCCATAAATTTGTACAGGTTCGTTTGCCAAAATCTAACATATGTACATAGTCGATAAGATGATTATGAGGGATATCTTAACAAAAACANATGTAAAGATGACCTGAGGAGGACGTGAAGATATTTTTATATATAAAAAATCACGTATGTTAATTAGTATACCCCCTCGTGGTAAGAGGACCTTTTATCGGGGCTACCGCTATTTTTATGTTAAATATAGTCGCTTTATTATTATTATTATAAGAGGTAAACAAACGTTTACAATGAAAAATAGACGTAATTGAAAGGCGCGCTACCGAAGTGTAGCCCCGGATGCTCTGACAGATGTGTGTTATAGGTACGATTTACGACGGGACCAAATTTGGCATAGGTACAGTACATATCGGTGGGAGTTCTGTGAACTCGGGACCGAGTTCAGCGACACAATATGTGCATCTGAAAGGCACGAGCAAGACCAACCAACCGTTCGCTTAGACGGAACTAAGCAAGGATGAGTGTTACCGTAACCCTAATGTCTCATGGACTGTATTTCCCAGGCTCAAAAGTCGGGGGGAGGGGAGACGCCGTTTATGGGTGGAAGGACGTAAAAACGGCAACTGGTGATGCTCGTTACGACACAAGTGGTGGCGACAATGTGCAATGTGCTGACAATTGGACTGTTCCTCCTAATCGCCGCTTGGACGACGACTTCGGCCGTCCACAATGAAAAGGCCGTCTTGCGTGGCATCTCAGAAAAGGTACAGTCGCTTTGTTTAAATATAAAAATCTACGCTTCTCTACTCGCGATTCTTAGACGGCATAATGAGAATTTACACCCCAAGACAGACTTTTATCATTATCATTATTTATCTCTTCCGCGTAATATTAGTAATGCTAGCCTTTAAAAGAAATAATAAAGGGGAGCCAAGTTACGCGCCTTCACAATACTTACGAAGCAGATATCAAAAAACAAAAAAAAATGTCTGGGACGGGTCAATGATGTAACAGAAGGTCACGTTTTATGGGTTAATTTTCTGGTAAGTTTTACGTCGACCGGACACAAATTTCGTTATAATACGTGGGAAAGGTCACAAGTACTTACGACTTTAGATATTACGAAGCCGAGTGATGAAGAAACTGGTACTGTAATTATCGTTCTATTTTCCCCTTTGGCTTTATTATTATTGTTGTATGAATGAAATTCTTTTATACTCGGGGTTATGAATGAGAATTCATAGACGACTTTTTCATTGATAATGCCGTAGATGACGTCGAAAATGATTCCAGATGTTCTTAAGATTCGATGAGGAAGACTTTCAAGGTTAAAACTATTTAATTCATTCTTTGTTTATTTTTTATTTTTATTTTTCGATTTTTCCGATTAAGGAAAACAAAGGTAGCAAAATGAGAGAAGTTTTAAAGTCTTGCAGGGAATGACAATACGTACTTTCCCCTATTTCTTCCAGGTTAAAGATTTTTAAAAAATGAAACGAACAATCGATCAATTTCAAAACAGATTTTTAAATTCTCGTTGAAAGAAATAAATTATTTCTTTTTTTTTTATTTTCCTCCGACCAAACAATACTTTCCTAAATGGAAAACACAATCGCTACATACATAATCACTAGATAAGTAATTAAAATTCCATATTCGTCCGTTAATCTGTCAAAAAACGTAGAAAAACACAATGCTATCTTTATCTTACAGAATGTTTGATAGCTCAGTACAAGCACAACACATCCATAATAAGTTAGAAGGGAATAAAGAAACTAGTTTAAAAAATATATATAATAATAATAATCTGTATTTATTCTGTTTTATATCCTATCAGAATAAAAATGTTCCAGTTGCTAATCAATTCTAAAATGGCATTTCCGGTTTTAGTAGGCACAACGTTCATTATTAATTAGATTTATAGGCATGAATTATTTATGTACTTTTAGATGAGATAGATTCTTATTATGTTCCCGAGGATAAAAAAAAAAGACGTTAACTTGATAAAATCTTAAGTTTTTCCTCCTCTTAAGAATGTATTTTACAAGTAACGTACAGCGTTTTTCTATTAATAAAGATTACAGTACCATTTTCTGATACTTAAATTTTCATTAAGTATAAAATTTATTCGATAAATTTGCTTTAAAAAATAACTTTTTTAAGCTTAGTAACAGCAAGAATAAAAGGAGAGGGGGGGAAAAAAGAGAGGTCTCGACTCGACCCATTCGAATCTCTGGAGACTTTTCATTCAAGAGCGGAAATTTGATTCATTGAGCCGTAACCACGTTACGTAAACATAGAAAAAGGGCATATTTGGCTACCAGGAACTGAAAGAGTGTCGATGCATCTTTAAAGCCGTGAATGTTCGTTTGCACAAATAGAGTGTAACAGGTATGTAGCGCTGTTGGGTCAGAAAGGAGATTAAGAGAGAAAATAATGCTAAACATTCGACCTTGGCGTGCCAACTGTGAATGCACCATCGATCCCCGACTTAAATCAAATGAATGATTACAATAATAATTATCGTGTTTATAATCAGATCGATCATCACGTTATGTTTTTATCGTCGAAAACGATATTCAATTTTGATAACGCATCTTATTGAATGACGTGTTGCTTCCATTCGTTCTCGTTAGTAGAGGGGGATTAAAATTAAGGTTACTTAACTATTCCCCTTTCCACTCTCTCTCGTCTAGATACCCAACAGAGATGGAAAATTACTTCCCTACGGTTTGCCCGAGTGCTCGACTCAACAAGTATGTAACGCAATGTACATCCGACTGAACCGAATTCAATCCCTATGTTACTGTCCCAAGACTTATAGCCTATCCTGCTCGAACAGAATGGACTCGGCCGACGAGCACACTATTAATTTGATCGCCGACGAAGCTGGTGTAGTAAGTACTACCGTATTGTTTTTTTTTGGAATGATTTACGAAAATGTATAACACCTTAGCCTACAAATCACGTATTACATCTCATTAGTTGCCGTCCCTAAGTTTAATTCGAGACACACCCTGCCTTCAACTGTCTACTGTGTAATAAATGGGGTTTTTTCACTCTAATAAATCATTACGACCATCTAAAAGCAATAAAACTCGTACAGCACAATTAGAGGATGCCCGATTTGTGCCACTTCACAGTTACACATCAGGGGGGCAGAATAGATTTCGACTTAATTAACACGCTAAGCAATTTTCCTATGGAAATTTACTATTTTTATAATAATTTGGGTTCATTATTGTGATGTAATAGAACGATTCGGTTACAGATACTACTATTTCCCTTTTAAATAAGACGTGACTGTCACAAAACATTGGTTGCTTTCACGTTCTTATTGTCAGAACACGTTTTGCCAACATAGCACTTTTCGTTTCTTCTACCAAAGATAAACACGCACGATAAAGCCTTTTTATATTGTTTCTCATTAACACACTGGTGTTCCTGAATTTATAATCTTATAAATACAATCTTACATTACTTAACTATAATCTAATAATAATAATAAAAAAAAATAAATACAGTCCCCCTTTTTTTATTGAACTAAACTGTAGTATTATATAAAAAGGAAATCCTTCTTATTAAATCAAGGGTTATTGCTACATTTATTACCTTGATTTTTTTTAAAATAAATGATTATAATGATTAATATTAAATTTTATTTTTAACAAAATATAATTATTAGTAAATCTAGCTTATCATTTAGAATTCTGATGGATTTGTTGACCTAATCTCAACTAGGTTTGATTGTATCTAGCTAGTCCACCCACAGTTTCCTTTTTAGATAACTTCCTAGCAGTTATTAAAATACAGTAGGTAACAAGAAGAAAGAATCTGGTTTTCTGTCCTTCATTTCAACATCCATAATTTATTTTTATAAACTACTCTAATATTAACTTAATGAATAAACAAAAAAAATTCTTTAAACAGGTTGATCCTTTACTTTCATTCATATACATGTACAGATGTAATATTAAGCATTTACACTGGATATAATAATAATTAAAGCAATTATACTGGGTTTATTTTATAATTTCCATTATGATATCATAGTATTAAATTATTATAAAATTAACAATTAAACTAGCTTACAGGAATTTTATATTAAATATCAATTAAAATTGGCATATAACTTCTAATTATTTTACTAGAAAATATGATAAATATATAACCATTGTCAAATGACACAAGATTGCATCCATCTTTTAATCACTTAATGATTAAAAGATGGAACATTAGACAATAATTTCTCCTAATAAATAGATGAGAGGTCCATAATTAAATAAATTTGAAATTCAGAATGCAAAATTAAAAGATTTCTATCGATTCAAACTAAAAAAAAAACTTATCAATATACAAATATAACCTATTTGCTTAATCTATATAAATGAACCTACTAAACTACAGTTCTTATCTGATTTTCTTAAGCATTTTATTAATCAGATTATTATTTAAAGCTTCCTTGATGATTAACAATATCTAAATTAATTCTAAGATACCATCTTATGTACACAATATTTTTCCATAATAACTGAATTGAATATAATTAATATATAATTTATTATCGTGTAAGTTTTCAAAGAAAATTACACTTTGTGCGTTTAATTACTTAATTAACTTTACTCCTTTAGTATTAATTTTAAGTTTTCTTTTGTTGTGTCAATACTTTAATTAATTCATTTTGTAGCCGCTGACACTGGTCAAAATTTGCGAACCAATTCATACTGTGAGACCTTGTAAGAATCCCAAAGACTGGATGTTACTGGCATTACAGAGCAGGAGAACAGGAAAATCCCATTATCTAGTCATATGTCACTGTCCATCGTATGCATATTTACAAGGTCCAATCAAACACAGCATACCGACCTATGCTCACATACCCGGAATTAATGTTTATGGTATGCTCTGCAATCAAGGACATCGTAAAGAAAGACAATGGCCTAGAGGTCAGGAAAGTATTAAAATCTGTAATCACTAAATGTTTTTAAATAGTTTTTTTTTTTAAATTTACTTAGACATTAATTTGATTAATGGCAAAAACTTTTTTCTTGCTTATTATAATGAGAGTTTGCATAATGTATATTTAATTCTAGAATAATATGGATAATTTTAAATGTATAGTACTATTATACCTGTCACTAACAAGTTTTCCAAGTAATTATCTAACCGGATTAATGTGCTTCTTTACTAACAAATTTAATTATAAAAAAAATTTACTTATTACACAAAAAAAAACTTTTATAAAATTTTTGCTTAATAAGTTGTTTGTTTGATAAAAATATTTTCTAAAGTAAGAAATTTTATAAATGCATTGATTAAACATTACTGTTTTTACACTAAAATCCATTTTTACATAATATAATTGCAAAAATATGGACAATGTTTATTACATTTTAAATTTATTTGCATTAAATTCATAAAAAAATTAAAATTTCTATGCCATAAACAANCAAAAAAAAAAAAAAAAAAAAAAACTGTTGGAATTCTTTCACAGTTTTGTAATTTTATACAAATGATCATGAGAAAGAGACTCTAGAATAAAACCTCTCAAACTCATCAATAAGTGAAAAATTGTATCTGATAACCTACAGAAATGATAAATACAAAATTATTTGACACACAAATTAGTTTACAAAATTCCATATAATATAGTAAATGCTTAACAAGGTTTTTCTTTAGATATGTCAAAGTAATGATTTCAGTCAAGTTTAGACGCATTTTACTCATACCTCAAAACAAAAACCTTTAAAATGCAGCCTTTTTATTCATATTTCAAACGTTTTTGGCCATTTTAAATGGTCTTCCTCAGGAACAGAAAAATTGAATGATCCTGCTTTTAGTAAAAGTGTTTTTTGTTTTCAGGTATGAGTTATATTTAAGTGCAATTACAGAAGAGTTTAAGACACATTTTAAATAAAAATGCTCAAAATTGTAATGATTTTAATCAAGTAAATACTACAAAATACACTGCAATTAAAAGAATTCTAATCTAATCAACTGTTTGACTTATAGAAGAACACTATCTTGCATGGATAATGAAATATTACACCAAAAAACTTCATATCTGTACAGTACTACTAATTAATATTTAATGTGAATTGCAGTTAATTTCTTTGATATGACTAAGCTATTCCAAAAGCTTATCTGAAAATACTGCTAAATACAATTTCATTATATTTTGATTTGTATGACTTCATCAATTTTAAAAGCCTTCTGGTATATAAATTTCTGTAGAAACAGTAGAGTAAGTTAACTTTAATTATGGATGTCCTGTGCACTAGATAATGAATTTACTTTTATAACATATTAATATAAAAGAAATGTATATTATTATTATGAATATTAAACAATTCTATTTCTATAAATTCAGTAATATTTGTTGATTTATATTCTATTTTTTACTCTTGAAAATTCAGTTCTTTTTATTATGCAAATATTAATTAATAGCTGGTCTAAGTCAATGGGAAAAAATAATGAATTATTCTCATAATCACATATCAGTACAAATTAGCCATATTTATTTTATAAATAACAACAACTCAAAGCCCGAATAGTATATAATAAATTACCAAACGATCGCCTAAATATCGGGCTATGTCAAATTACTTTATTCCAATCATTTAATTATAGCCCGATATTTAGGCGATCGTTTGGTAATTTATTATATACTATTCGGGCTTTGAGTTGTTGTTATTTATAAAATAAATATGGCTAATTTGTACTGATATGTGATTATGAGAATAATTCATTATTTTTTCCCATTGACTTAGACCAGCTATTAATTAATATTTGCATAATAAAAAGAACTGAATTTTCAAGAGTAAAAAATAGAATATAAATCAACAAATATTACTGAATTTATAGAAATAGAATTGTTTAATATTCATAATAATAATATACATTTCTTTTATATTAATATGTTATAAAAGTAAATTCATTATCTAGTGCACAGGACATCCATAATTAAAGTTAACTTACTCTACTGTTTCTACAGAAATTTATATACCAGAAGGCTTTTAAAATTGATGAAGTCATACAAATCAAAATATAATGAAATTGTATTTAGCAGTATTTTCAGATAAGCTTTTGGAATAGCTTAGTCATATCAAAGAAATTAACTGCAATTCACATTAAATATTAATTAGTAGTACTGTACAGATATGAAGTTTTTTGGTGTAATATTTCATTATCCATGCAAGATAGTGTTCTTCTATAAGTCAAACAGTTGATTAGATTAGAATTCTTTTAATTGCAGCGTATTTTGTAGTATTTACTTGATTAAAATCATTACAATTTTGAGCATTTTTATTTAAAATGTGTCTTAAACTCTTCTGTAATTGCACTTAAATATAACTCATACCTGAAAACAAAAAACACTTTTACTAAAAGCAGGATCATTCAATTTTTCTGTTCCTGAGGAAGACCATTTAAAATGGCCAAAAACGTTTGAAATATGAATAAAAAGGCTGCATTTTAAAGGTTTTTGTTTTGAGGTATGAGTAAAATGCGTCTAAACTTGACTGAAATCATTACTTTGACATATCTAAAGAAAAACCTTGTTAAGCATTTACTATATTATATGGAATTTTGTAAACTAATTTGTGTGTCAAATAATTTTGTATTTATCATTTCTGTAGGTTATCAGATACAATTTTTCACTTATTGATGAGTTTGAGAGGTTTTATTCTAGAGTCTCTTTCTCATGATCATTTGTATAAAATTACAAAACTGTGAAAGAATTCCAACAGTTTTTTTTTTTTTTTTACTTTTGGAGTTACTAGAATATATAAACTTCAAAAATGGATATTCTGTATAAAGTCTTAAAACAGACATATATATCTTTATATACAAATAAATTGTTTATTTAAAAAATAGTAGATTTTAGTGCAATTAGGATAATATTTTGATCAAAGCCAAACTGTAGAATTAGAAAATCTCAACACTTGATCCCAGGGAAATGCAGGAAAATCTAAAAAATAAAAAAATAAAAAGAAAATTTAATTTATTATTTTCTGCTTAATGTTCACTTAATAATAATTATAAATTATCATAATTAATTAAATTAATAAATTTGGTTTTTAAGTCAATAAAAATCGAAAAATATAGTACCAAAATAACAAATATTTAAATCAGACAATATGAAAATTTGTCAATTTATAAAGCAATCTGACTCAATATTATATAAATGAATTTAGAGAAATGTTTGTTTATATTCTAAATTTAATTATTTATCTTGATGACGATACAAATTTTGTGTGTTGTTTTCATTTTAAACTATTTTTACAGTAATAGATTTTTTGTTAAATTGTAATTATCATTCAAATAAGTCTGTAAACTGGTTAAACATATTAATTTTATTGTACGGTGTATTATTTTTCTAGTTATTAAAATGAAACTTCAATGGATCCTTTTTTTTTTTTTTTCAAATTAATTAACTCAGTCGACTGCTGTTCTTTCATTAACAAAAGCAATTATTTTAAGCAGTTGTATCTAATAACTTACATTAAAATTAAAATTATACCTTTTTAATCTTAAATTTGCTTGCAGACAGGTAATAGTTAACTATTAATTTAAATTTTGACAATTGATTGAGATGCATTTTACCAAGAAATCTTGTTTAACTCAGCAAATTATTTACACTCCAACGATTCCAATCGGAGAATATTAAAAAGTGAACCACTCCTGCATAATTTCCTGGATGTTTTAAAAAAACTAGTCCAATCATCTTCAGTATCATTCTTGTTTGTGAATCCTTTTTTTTTTTTTTTTTTTTTTGTAGAGTGCAATGTATGAGTTACTCTTATTTATTAGCTCAATAGAAATAAGATATTGAGCAAGTAAAAGAATGAATAAATTTAAAGAAATTTTTATGAATGTCATTATATGTTAAAACTGAACGAATGTGTCGATTGTTGCTAGTTTTTTAGCAATTTTGATTGATTGATGATTTATTTGTTTTTAACTGTTTTTTCGGTGAACGGAAAGGAAGGAAATGTTTCTACTCACATATATTAACTTTTTTTTTTCTTTTGTGTATTAGTCAGTATTATCAAAACAAGTTTAAGTTTCGTAATTACAATTATAAAATTAAAAATATACTATATATGCTATAATAATTAACAAATGTAATAGCAGTTTATGATCCATTACATATAAAATGTTTGACTCAGAAAAAAAAAACTGATTTAGTATTATTATTATTATTATTATTATAATGTAATTGTTTATGGCATAGAAATTTTAATTTTTTTATGAATTTAATGCAAATAAATTTAAAATGTAATAAACATTGTCCATATTTTTGCAATTATATTATGTAAAAATGGATTTTAGTGTAAAAACAGTAATGTTTAATCAATGCATTTATAAAATTTCTTACTTTAGAAAATATTTTTATCAAACAAACAACTTATTAAGCAAAAATTTTATAAAAGTTTTTTTTTGTGTAATAAGTAAATTTTTTTTATAATTAAATTTGTTAGTAAAGAAGCACATTAATCCGGTTAGATAATTACTTGGAAAACTTGTTAGTGACAGGTATAATAGTACTATACATTTAAAATTATCCATATTATTCTAGAATTAAATATACATTATGCAAACTCTCATTATAATAAGCAAGAAAAAAGTTTTTGCCATTAATCAAATTAATGTCTAAGTAAATTTAAAAAAAAAAACTATTTAAAAACATTTAGTGATTACAGATTTNCACTCATTCGACCATGAAAGGGAGCCAGTATTTAAACGAGGCTTAATTTTCTAATTTTTAACGATACAATAGCGACAATTATTATTTTAAAAAATTTTTGTTAGGCTTAACATCGATGAAAATTCAAAGCGAAGTAGATTAATAGCGATATACTAATATACTAATTATATGGGATATAATAATATACTACACTAATAATGGATTTTTTTCATACTTTTCGGTTATCCGACTTTTCAATTATCCGACCAACCCCAGTCCCCAATTGGGTTGGATAATTGAGGCGCTACTGTATTTACATTAAAATGTATCACAAATGTATAAAATTGTCTTCATTTTCTTTTCCTGTCATTACAATCAGTGACAGTCCAAAACAATTTTCACATACAGAGATGACCTTTCATTTGAGGCTGCATCCTCTGCAAAAAATGCAAAATGGAAAAAATTCCTCTGGCAATTATGCCAATAAAAGGTCATCTCCATATGTGAAAATTGTTTTGGATTGTCGCTGGTGATTTTAGTGACAGAAAAAGAAAAATGGAAACAAGTTTGTATATTTGTGATATTTTATATTTTAACGTAAATGTAAATATGGCCTAGTTTTAATTTTAATTTATCTATATTAAAAATTTCTTGCTGCATTACTCGTGCAGAATATGAATTATTTTTCATCTTATTAATCTTACTTAGTTTATGATATTTAAATTTTATAAAAGAAACTTTCTACATATAATTTAGTTAACAAATATAATAGCTTTAGGTTCATAAAAAGTTTAATGACTGTCTTATAAAGGCTTCATTTTAGTATACAACACTTGCCTTAATATATTATCATAATACTTTATATGGAGATTTTTGTATATTTTGTAAACAGATCAATCGTTTCTCTAGCTAATTTGGAAACTTCAAATTGTAAATAAAGATTATTTATGTTTTGAAATTTTCAAACAAAAGACAAAGACATATTATTAAATGGGTCAATCATTTCTTAAGTTTTGTCTTCAAATTATCCTTTTGTCCTTACAGATTATGTTTATAATTATATAAAATAGTACATTTGACATTTGGAGCTATTTTATAGATTGCATCTTCAAATAGCCCAAATATCAAATATAATACTTCACATAATTATACAATTAGAACTATATCAATTATAATTAAATTTTCTGAAAGATGGCTGGATGGCCAAGCAGTCAAGGACTGCCTACTGCTCTTGGGACCTGGGATCGAATCTGGATGGGTCGAAAAATCCCCAGGAATTTTTTGGAGGTGGTCCGTCCAGATAGTTCAGACCCCGTCCCTCACCATTGTGAGCCTGGCCGAGCTCATAATGGACTTGGAAAACGAGGCCCTCTTAGTGCCCACAGAGTGGAAAGAGTTAAAAAAAATAATAATTTCTGAAAACAATCGAATTAACAACAGGATTACACACAAATGTATTTCTTACAGCAATTTCAAATTGATAATTGATGATTTTAATTTTAATTAATAATTTAAAACGTTTTTTTAAATATTTTAAAAAAATTTTTAATTTACATTAATTAACACCAAACTTTTATGAAACAGAGCAAACCAGAGAACTACAAAATAAACTCCAGTATATGCTTTACTAATGAAAAAACAGACTAATATCAATATTTTTTTCCATTAGTAAAGCCCATACTAAAGTTTATTTTATGCTTCCTTGGTGTTTTGTTTATGTATACTCTGGTCTGTACAAATTTCAAGAAGTAAACTTTCATGAATAATATATAAATAATTGGAGACAAAGTATAATTTATCAAGCATATATGTAAATAAAAATGCATTTTGATCATTTAAAGAAAATAGAATAATCAATACAATAAATAAAAAAGTGATTTGATGCAGAACTAGATTACATAATTCACCAAACAAAAATAATAAAATGAGGCCTGGGCAAGTCACAAATATCATTTTATCCTTCTCCAAAAACAATAAAAACTTAAATAAAATCAATAAAATAAATGAAAACTGACATTTTACCAAAAGAAATTTTAATTTACATAACTTTCATATCATTTATATATATATATATATATATATATATATAAAAAGCTTTGTAGTTCCTGTGTTTGGGAACAAAGCCAAATGAATCAGCTGTCACTCTATTTATCTGAATTTGTTCATTACTTTTTCATCAACTATTTGAAACAATAAATTTAAACTTTAATATTAAAAAAGAATGCAATTTAATTTTTTAAATTTATTTTGTTATCACATAGATAATCTGACAACTGTTTGTATGACTTCATAAATATTTCTAAAGATATTACAATAAAAAAAAAAATAATAATAATAATAAACTAATTAATTTTTTAATCACAATACTCAATTTGGTACTGTGTGGAAAATAATTTGGTACTCAACATAAATATACATCTTTCAATGGTTGATTCCTTTTATTAAAAAGAAATGATCCAACTGTGAGAAACATAATTGACATTGATTAAAGATAAACAACAAAAAAAACTTAAAAGCTGTAGGAGGTAGTTGACCACAATACAAAGAACATCAATAATAATAATAAAAATAGCATAATAAATATTTCTAACATAATTCTTTATGTTAATTCACACAGCCAAGTTTACTATACAATGAGCAATCAATTAAATAACCTGAATGGCCAACATCTGAATTAAAGAAATTAACAACACAGTACTTAGAAAAGTGAAAATTATTATGAATATAAAAAGAAATGCTAAATTTTTAATTCTTTTTATGACATTTTAAGATTATCTGCAATTTATCAACACTATTTTAATTAAATGTGGATCAATGATATTAAACAAGGTTAAATATAAAGTAATAATAAAAGCTGAAGTTAATTTCTGGCTTAATTAAATAAAAATCTATTTGTGATATAAGTGAAAATAAATTAATATTTCTGCCTCAAAATTTATATTATATAATTAATTGCAACTGAATATTTTATTATTCATTATTAAGGGAAGAATTAATAAGTTTGATTAATTAAGAAGATAATAAGAAACCAACAATTAAAGAAATATTCCTTCTCATTATCATTATTTAAAGTTTTTTTTTATGTTTGAAGCAAAGTAAAAAAGAAAAATCAAATATTTTTTGATAGGTTGTTGTTGTTGTTGTTGTTCAGATCTGAACTGAATTGATTTTTCTTTTTAATAATTTTCAATTTTTAAGCAGCAAGTTCATTTTTATGTATAAAAAATATATGTACTGTTGCTTAGAAGGTTGCATTAGTTACTAGAATTTATGACACATATAATTAAAAGAAACTTAAATCTGAATTTCAAAATAGACTATATTTTTAACTGTTATAATGTTAAATATTTTTTTAATGCATGAACACAAAATTAAAACTTATTTTTTATGTCAAACAATGCTGATATTTATAGATTAAAACTGACATTTTAATTATTGTTATCTAATTTCTCCTGAGCACAAGTGCTGACGGTTTTATCACCTGCCACAATGACCATTGTCAGATTATACATATATATATATTTTTTTATATCTCTCAAGCTACTGATACATGACAAAAATTTGTCTATAAAAACAATATTCATGAAACAGACAATAATCTACTTCACAATTTTATTAAAATTAGATATATTTAAAATAGTTATTTTAGCAAACTTTTTATTGTGTCTGATATGTTTTAATGAATGTCATAAACTTAAAAAAATTAATTTTTAATACATATATATTATAAAAATTAATTATGTAAAACACTATAGTCCATAATTCATAATATATATAGTATGGCATATTCAAATAGGAAAATATCAATACAAGCTCTTATCATACTAATGCTTAAAACATGAAATTTGTTTTCATTGTAAAAAAAAATAATACCTGTCACACATCAGCAACAGATGCAGCCTTCTAGCAATTTGAGATAGCATTTGCAGGTGGTAACATAGCAATTAATGTGTTTGAAAAGTAAGTCAGACCTGACTTTCTAAATTAGCTACAATTTAACTACGTAATCCTAAATTTAAATTAGCAAAAAGTAACAAAAACTTGATCTAATGATTTAAATTATCTACTAATCATTATTAATTTGAAAACAACCATTAAATGTTTTAAAATAACTGTTAATGTTAATTTTAAATTAATTAACACCCAATTTCTTTCTTATGTTTATATAGCTTAATATTCAGCATATAAACTAACACATATCTATTCTAACAAATAATATCTACCAGATTCATACTCAAAATTTTAGAATTTATTCCAGTTATAGACTCATTAATGATTAATGACAAAGAGAATAACTTACTCAAATAAGATAAGTAAATTATACAGAATAAGGCATAGAAACAAATTATTCAGTGTACAAAATTGTTAGTATTTTATATGATTTTAATACAATGATAGGTTTACTATCAGCTAATAATTTTCTTAAGTAGATACTTTCACATAAATGTGATAAAAGATTAATGAATATTTTTTATTAAAAATATTTATTAATCTTTGAAATGAATAAATAGAATTTAAAAGTTTGTCAACAACAAAAAAACTCATTATATTTTAAAAAGTTAGAAATTATAATATCATTAAATATCTCTCTTATAAATTCCTAAATTGTATAAAATATTACTCTTAATAAAATTCTAGAAATTTGAAAAGGAAAATTCTAGAGCAATTTTAATAAAACGTTGCAAATATAATTTATAAACAGCCATTTCTTTGCTACTACTTTAGCTAAAATCAGTTTTTAAAAAACTGAAAAATCCTCAGGAATTAAAATTTAGAATACTTTATCATCATATGAAAATTTAGAAAATTATTTTAATTTATAGTTATTACTACATATAAATGGCTAGAAATCATCACCTTTTTTCTCTGATAAATAATTTAATCTAAAAATATCTGTAAAGTCTAATAAATAAATAACTTACCTAACATTTCTGCAGTAACTTGAATGTTACAACTGTACATAGCCACCATCAACCTTTGTGGTTGAGCCTGAAATGCTCTTCTGCAGCCTTCTTTCATTATTGACATTATTTGACCTGCAAGAGGTCCATAAGGTGCATTACTATTATCAATTTCACTGTAATTTCCCACTAGTTCTGAATTGTTTAAATCTTCTCTAGTGTCTGAATCTCCTATAAAAATAGAGTCTCCATTACAATTTACAGCTGAATCTACATTCTGATTTTCTAATTTATCTGTCAACTGTAAATTAACTGTAGTGTCTATTTCATTTAATAGGTTATCTATTTCCCAATTTTCAACAATAAAACAAACACCCATCATAGGTTCTTGACATAAAGGTCCAGATAAAGTAGCTAATTGAAAGCCATTTACAAAACTATTATCATATTGTAAAAATATACTTTCTAGTAGTTTATCTTTCTTTTCTATCCAAACTGACGGCTGTTTATACCCTGGTATGCGATTTAATAAGATGTTTGGTCCACATCTTTTAGGTCCAAATGACCATATTTGATCTACTGCATTTTTCCATGTTGGACCTTCTTCATTAAACATTACCTCTAATCGATGTTTTAAATCTTCTATTTTTTTTAAAGTTTCTGAAGTTAATATATCAACAGAAGTTGCTTGTTTACTTCTTTGAGCATTAACAGTTTTATATAAAGCTTTGATATACTGAGAATTTTCTTCTATTAATTTAGTTACACATTCTGGAAGTGGTATAGCTCTTAATGAAATTATTGATCTTTTATTTGGTGTCTGAATTGTTATTAAACCATCAGATCCACTATCACCATCCAAATCAGAAAGCTATAAAAAAAAAATACAACGTACATTATGCAAGAAGCNATCTTGCTTAAATTAATAGAATAGGATTTTATTTTTAAGATTAAAAAATAAACATTGTTGATCATAGTTAAATCTAGCTGACGATGTTATAATTACATGAAAGAACCAGCTAATTCCATTATGTAGATGATACAACCAAACAAAATTAAACATGACATTATGATGTTTATCTCATTTTAAAAACTTCTAGTAAAAATGCTATATTTTTTAATATAGTAATATTATAAAATACTATATTCTTAAAAAAATTTTAATATAAACAGAATTATTTGGTTGCATAATTATTTCAAAATTTAAATCCAAAACAAGAATTTTAAACTTTAGAAATGAATTAATTTCATAATAAATATAACTATCCACTTCTAATATTTTAAGTATTGTTTTCTGTTTATTTCTGTTAAGAATAAAAAATTATTTAACATTTCTTTTTATTTTAAATAATAAGAAAGAAAAGCTCTAAACAAATTAAATGTTTACACAATGTTTTAATCACAAAGATAACAAAATTTTAAAAATACTATTATTTACATTTATTTAAATGCAAATATATATTTTTATAACTGAATATATTAAACAGAATCTACTAACTTTTAAATGATTTATGAACACAAATTTATTTACAATTGTAATCTTTAAGATAGAAAATAAGATTAATAATTAGAGAGGAAATTTTTATGAGGAAAATCAAAATTAGAAACAAAATACAAAGTTGAATGCAATCCCAATTAAATATATGAAATATTTACCTTTTTAATTTGATTCTTGTCTTCAATAATTTCATTTACCATGTCAGTTTTTGGAGGTGGGACAATGGTTTCACGAAAAGGTACAATTGGTGGAGATACATTAATTTCAATTTTTGCAAATCTAAATATTAATTTTTTTTTAATTATTTAATATAATTTCATAAAATTAATCAAATAAATTAATTTAAATTCAAGATTAGATGTTTTATGCTAACCTTTCTTTTAAATCATCCAAACAACGTTCTAAATGTACTTCACCTGCAGTAACAATAACATGTTCCCCTGTTTCTTGAATTAATACTTGAACACACGGATCTGCTTGATTTAATAAACGTAAACCAGAAACTAGAGAAGACATTTCACCTGAAAATTAAAAAAAAAACTATTATTTATATTTTATTGTCACATTTTTTGCTTTAAAAATTATTATATTAAAATATAATAATCACTTTAATGAAATTTACTCTTTTGTGTAAAGTTTAAAAGTTTGTAAGACATTTTTTATAGAAACTATGTTAAGATCATTAGAGTAAAAACTAAAAAAAAATAAAAATATAGAGAAGAGTAAAGAAATGACATCATTAACAAAACATGCTTATGATGACAAAAAAGCAATGATGTTATGGGTGAACTTGTAAATGATTTAAAATGAAACAACAAACACATCAATTAGATTAACAAAGGAATTAATAATAGCTAAACAGAATGAATGCAGGAAATTTAATTAATATAACCGGAAAATAATGATGAAAACTTTTAAAAGTGAACATTAAAGGTTAGGAAAATAATAAGTGACAAATACTAGATTTTATATTCATAAATCAAAGTCACATAAAATGCTGAAAAATTATTTAAAGCAGTTTAAAATTTCACAAAGCTCATCATTTCATAATAAAAATAAAAGACTGATTAAAATAAAAATCCAGCAATAAGTTGTAAAATTTTTCTGGCCAAACTTTAAAATTGCCTATTCTACTATCTGTTATGAGATTTTATTTTAGAATCTTTTCATATTATTAATTATTATAAAATGGCAAAGCTTAATTTTGAGGGTAGAAATATGACCCCTCTATCTCTCCATCCCATTGATCTTTAACCACTGAAATTTAATAGCATCAATTCCCCAATACACAACCAACCTGAAAAATTCCAGAAATTTTCAACAAAAACCCATAAGCTTCTAAATGGATGAATAAAATCATGCCCATCCCACACACACACACAAACAAACAAAATCCATATATACAGAAAACCCCCCTGAATTTTTTCGCATTTCTCAATGTTTTAAGGTGCTGAATCCAATGTAAAAATCTTGGAGGGGGCCATTATTTTTGACTGATTGCCATACTTTCTCTCTGTTATATATAACAGCCAAGAAAGTAAAATAAATACTGATTTTATTAAAATCAGAAATAATACTTAATAAGTTCTCTTTATTATGTAGTACATATAATGATAAGAACATTTTTTAATATTGCTTTTGAGATGGCTTTCAAGAAGTCCTAATTCAAATCTTGGAAATAATAACTTAATGCTATTTAATATTATTCCGAATTATTCTTGCCCTAAACATTTCTAAATTATTTAACCATTAAGACTACCAAAATGAGAAGATAGTCTGACTGTAGTGACAAATTATTCTAATTTAATAAATCTATATCAAATTACTGTTGATTAACTAGAAAATAAATAAATCCTATTTCACTTTTCAGACAGAAGTCTTTATTTCAATACAAATAATAAAAACAATAATAGTATAAATTTATAAAATAATTAATCTGTATGTGGATATCTGTTAGACAGCAAATAATATTTGAGAATAAAACTATAAATATGTACTTTTTTGCTTTCAATGAATTTTTAACATTTCATGCATATTAAAAATTATTTATAAATTTAACCAAAAACCCTTTTTGATTTCTCTTTTAAACAGTATGATGATGTTTACAGTGCTGTTTTTATCATAATCTTATGATAATCTATGAATTTGATTCTCAAACTGATGGATTGGACTTATTACTATGATGGTTCTTACATTGTAAACTATTGAATATAAAATAATTGTCAAGATAACTAATTAAATAAAAATAGCTTGCTTTTTATAAAATTAAAACATTTTTCAGCTACTTTTAATTAATGCCCTCCTTTTTTTAGCTAAATTTTTCTATCAAATTCAGATCAGTTTGAGCATATTCCTGTTTCTGTTCCAATATTTTATATACTATTATTATATTTTTCAAGCACTTTAGAATTTTTGATCATAAAGTCTTTCTTCATTTTGTTATTTTAGATCTTCAAATGAATATGACAAGCATTATCATCTTACATTTCAAAATATAAATTCATTCATGCTATAATTAAAATCAAAATATATCAAATTAATAAGTATTGTCATATTACTAATGTTCAAAATTTCCAACGTAACAGATAAAATAAAATTTTCTATATCAATTAGAAATATACATGCTGAACTGTTATAAGAACTATTTATTAGATCATAAGTGTCATTTATTGATGCTTACAAAAACCTTCAGAATCCAATAGTATTCAACATTCAGTTAAAATTTACATTTTTGTTTTATCTCATTTATAATTAGTACTCTAATATAACACAGCTTCATTTTTTGTATGTTGCTGAAAGCAAGCCAAGCTAAAAAAGTCAAAATTAGAAAAATATCAACCTCATTAATTTGCCTAAATTTTATTTAAACTGTGTAGAATTAGATTCTCTAATGTGTACAAAATACAAATAAAATTATTATTCTGACTCCAGTAAATAATAAATTAATTTTTAAAATACATTCAGCAACTATTTTAAATTTCTTGTATAACAGCCATTTTCTACTAATAACCAATTAAGAGTTCTGCCAGTTTTCTTATAGTGATCTCTTCAGCACTTTTATCAAATCCAAATATATATAAATTTTCTAATCTCAAAATATCAACATCAACAGAAATGTAAATAATGATAAAAAAAAACTATTGAAAATAAAGATTAAATCAGAGACAACAATTAGTCTAGAATCTAAATATGATATCTAGAATTTATTAAGAATAAAAGTCAATATAATCTGAGGAGAACTTATTAAACAAATGTTCCCAAGTAAGAACATTTCAGAAAAACATTTTTTTTTAATGTCAATAAAAACAAAATGTATCAGTTTTGTTCCAGAAAAAGCTTACATTTTCAATGATGATAATCTCAATAAACACCATACCATTTCATACAGCAAACTACATGATCTATTTAGATATTAAATAAGCAACAAACTATTAACCAATCAATAATGATCTGTTAAATGACTAAATCTATCAATAAAATATTAATCATGAAGCCCAATGAATGCAATTCTGTATGTAAAAATACAATTAAAATCTAAATTGTTTTTTCAGGAGTTAATTCATACAACTTTGTAAAAAACAAATTACAAAATAAAATAATATAATGAATCTTATTAAATGACTTGCAAATATTTTTATTTAGTTATTCAATATAACTTTTTAAACTTGGAATTTACTCTTTTTTATATGATGCTGTGCTTTCTAACATACAGGGTGCACCAGAAACAACTGAACAACTGAATTTAAATTTTAATTCACAAAACATTGGTCATTTACCAAATGTATCAGTACAAAGTAATAAATATTTATGTTTCTTCCTAAAATATTATTTTATTTCAACAACTGTCAGGTGTTTCTAGCAAACCCTGTATTTCCTTCCTTTTTTTTTTATTACATTGAGTCATAATTATTATTGATAAACTAACAAAATAGTAACATACTAATAAAAATTATTTTTTAAACCCGAAAAGGATAGTATCAAAAAATATTATCTCATATAACAATGTAATTGAAGCTGGATAAAAATAAATGTTAAAATATTTTTGAAATTAAAAAGTATTACCATTTTGAGACAAAGTAAATGGGATCTGAAGTTGGAATTTTTAATAAAATTGCAGCCAAATACTAAACTAAAAATCATTTTCTGGGCCAAACTAAAATTTTGTGCTTAGGATCCTGAGACTGATAAATATAATAAATCTTAAATCACATAGTCTAACTTTGTTCGATGGACATTGATACAATTTTAAACAAAACGTTTTAAATATATGTGTGATATTTTAAAAATATCTGAAGGGAATATGTATGCAATAATTTTAATTCATTCAAAATAATTATTTAAAACAATAAAGTCAGATTATTTATCCAATTCTTACTTAATTTTATTGTAGAAAAATACACAAAAAATCAACTTATCTTCCTGTTCTGACTTACAGAGAGTAGGTAACTCCAAATTTCTAAAACATTATATCAGCAATGAAATAAAAATTAAAGTTAAAAAAGGTAAAAGTAAACTCCATTGCAGAGAAACACTTTATTACACTTTCAGATTCCCTAAATGCATTTTGCCAAAAAATTAGGCCTCCTCAGTAGGGTTTTCAGCATACAGTTCAAACTCTGACAATATTCCATGGGTTTCCATTATGAATTTCCATCTATATATCTGACAAAAGTTTCCCAGCATGCAGCTGTCAACACACCGATATTTAAATTAACCATAATTATAGCAAATGTTCTTTAACTTTTCTTTTTACATTATTTTTTCCTTACAAACAATTTTTACATTATTAATGTTAATTTCACTCTCTTTTACTGGCTGATAATTATTTTACAGTAAAAGAGAACTTTTATCACCAAACTGATGGCATTTCCATGGGTTCAGTAATTGGACTGAAATTAAAAGAAATCTATATGTTAGATATGGACAAAATTTTATCAAACCTAAAGGACATTATAATTTTTTATGTATGTTGATGACATACTGATTATATATAATAGTGTAATAATGGCACGTATTCAAATATTGAAACAAGCCAATGAGATTAATTCAAATATTAAATTCACCCAAGAAACCAAGAATTACAATAAAATAAATTATTTAGATATAACAATTACACTATTTATAGATCATCTTAAATATTGTAAATTTGAAAAACCATGTAGTGCTAAAAAAGTTATTAACTTTAAATCATATTGCCCTATAAATCAAAAACATAATATATATTTAATGGAAATAAGAAAGATATTTTCCAGAACAAAAATGGATAAAAGAGAACACGCAAAACAACACACAAGAAGTATATTCTAAATGGATAACCAAAAAAAATATTAAATAATTGGTATAACCAATTCATATTAGATAGATATAAAGTAAAAGAGAAACAAAACAGTATGTATTATTTCCTTATATAAAAGGCATATATGAAAAATATAATAAAATTCTTAATCAAAATTTAATTAAACTCACTCCAACTCAGAATAATAGGTTGTCCAGTCTGATGGTTATAAGAAGTATTAAAAAGGACCTATTAGAATAAGAAGGTATGGTCTACAGACTTGAATGTACATGTATTATTCTGTGATCTATATTGGTGAAACAAAGAGAAAATTGAAGACCAGATTGTCGGAACATTTAGCAGCTGTAAGATTAAAATATAATAATTCTCCTATCTTTTATCATTGTTGTATTAATAATTGTGAAATTAACATTAATAATGTAAAAATTGTTTATAAGGAAAAAACTAATGTAAAAAGAAAAGTTAAAGAACATTTTGTCATAATTATGGTTAATTTAAATACGGGTGGGTTGACAGCTGCATGCTGGGAAACTTTTGTCGGATATATAGAGGAAAATTCGTAATGGAAACCCATGATGGAATATTGTTGGAGTTTGAACTGTATGATGAAAACCTTACAGAGAAGGCTTAATTTTTTGGCAAAATGCATTTAGGGAGTCTGAAAGTATAATAAAGTGTTTCTCTGCAATGGGGTTTGCTTTTAACTTTTTTAACTAATTTTTATTTCATTGCTGATATAATGTTTTAGAAATTTGGAGTTACCTACCCTCTATAAGTCAGAACAAAAAGAAAAATTGATTTTTCCTGTATTTTTCTACAATACAATTAAGTAAGAATTGAATTTTAATTCAAATTATATCATCTACTTTAATGAAAAAAAATTTCATACATACTTGGATGACTTGGTTCTAAAGCAACTCTGAGAATAGGAGTAATAGGTGTTTGCAATTCAACAAATGGTGAACAAACTATTGTTGTAGAGAGTGTAGCTGATTTTAAAACATGATCTTCCAAACCACTAATACCTATTCATAATATAAATTCTTTAGCTTGAAAAACATACTATTCACTGATAGTAGTAAAATAAACAAAATCCACACCTTATCAGTGAAAGAACTTAAATTTAAAACAAATGTTTTCAATTCACTGAATAAATCATCAGAAATGTAAGATGAGAGTAATCTGTTAAGCAGACAAAAAATGTTTATTTTAAATTTAAGTTTTTTCTCTAATAAAATGTAAATTCTTCAGCATAAAATTATTTTAAAATATCTAAAAAATGAAATTTATTATTAATGAATATATTAACAATACACACCTACAACATTTCCAGCAGGAACAGAATCTAGTGATACTAATTCTTTTCCCATTAGTAAATAAAGATCCTTAATAGTAGCAATGGTTATATGTTGATCAGAAGGCAAATCTTTAAGAGTTAAGTTTTTGTTTATTTCAATATTCTAGAATAAAAAACAATTATATAATTTCTGTATAAGAAAATAGAAATATTCAAGTAAGTATTAAATATGTAAGAATTACTCTTATTCACAATTTTATTTCTAAAAGAAAAATATGATTATTTTTCTTCACATATTTTCTGGTTGATGATATAGTTTCAAAACAATGTATTATTTTAATGAATTTAATTTCAAAATGTATATAAATGATTAAAAAATTTAACAAGATTAAAAAAATTAAAACAAAACTTGGAAATATGATTATTATGTTGGGTTTTGTGATATATACTCGGATCATACTGGTGGCTGTGTACTATGCCGGACCAAAGTCAAGGCATAGCAACCAAAAACTAAAATTAATTAAATAAGTGTGTCAGTGTCTGTATTCAGGAATTTCCTAACAATGTGGCATGTATTCAATATAGTGGCCTTCTGTAGTGTGATGTATGTATTTCTATTCAATTGTAATGTTCCCAGGCTTTTGTGTAGTGTGTATGGTATCACACCTGTACAGGAGAGAACGACAGGTACAATAAGTACCCTTTCCATCCTCCACAGATGCCTTATTTCCTGCACGAGTTCTGTGTACTTGCTAATTTTTTCAGTGCATGTGTTTTGTACATTGTGAGTGTTTGGAATGGCTATGTCTATAATGTATGTGATTTTATTGTACTTGTCAATGAGTGTGATGTCTGGTCTGTTGTGGTAAATTGTTTTATCTGTGATTATGTCTCTGTCATAGTACATTTTGTGCGTGTTGTTTTCCAATACTGTCTGTGGAATGTATTTGTAGTATGGTTCGTGGATGTCTAATAATTTGTGTTTGTTTGCAAGCTCTTGGTGTATTATGTTTGCTACTTGATTGTGTCTATGTAAGTAATCTGTCTGCGCCAAGAGCTTGCACCCAGATGTAATGTGTTGTATAGTTTCTGGCATGATGTGACATTTTCTGCATGTGTCATTTGTGAGTGTTGTATCTTTGAGTATGTGTTTTCTGTAGTTTTTAGTATTTATGACCTGATCCTGTATGGCAATCATGAATCCTTCCGTCTCCCCAAAGAGGCATCCCCGATCTAACCAGCTGTTTGACGCAGTTTTGTCAACAAAATCCTGGGCCAGGTCGTAAGGATGCCTGCCATGGAGAGCCTTTTGAGCCCATGATTGCTTAATGTTGTCTATGCTTTTTATATGTTGTGTCATGTCTGTATGTTGTGAGTGTAAGTTTAATGGTGTGTTATTTGAGTCTGCTAGAGTTACTGCTTTATGTAACTGTGATGTTTCTTGTTTCTTGTAGAAAAACTCTCGCAGTGACTGTATTTGTTTGTAGTGAAGGTTAACTATGTCAATCAGGCCACGTCCGCCTTCTTTACATGGAAGGGTTTGATTATTATTATTATTATTATTATTATTAATGGCAACAAAATGTATTGTAAATATATTTATAAAAAGCACTGCAGATAAATGAATTCTATTACTAATCATTTCAAACTTATTTTTGTGTTAAAACAGTAGAACCTGAAGAATGTAATTGAAACCTGACATAAATTTTATTATAATCAAATTTTACAAAGATTAAATTATAGCTCTGAAAATGATTTGACTAAATGTTTTCCCATATTTGCTTTTCTATAATTATATTTTTAGATTAAAAAAATTATTATAAAAAATCAAAGTAATAAATAATTTCATTGTAGTATTATGTTTCTTTATAAATTTCATAAAGGTAACATCATCATAATGGAAATCCTTTAAATAAACAATCTCTCCCATCTCTAAACACAAAAATTTCAAAATCAGCCATATACAATATTATAATAAATTAGTTCACAGATCATTAGATGCACACTGTGTATCTATCTAATTATCCATATACAAAATGCAAATCCTAAATCAAATCAAAAAATTAGTTTACTTGTATATTCTGAATAAATAGTTGATTCTGTAAAATTTAAAATCTTCAAGGGGCTGTTGATAATAAACAAATCAAACCTTTCAATAAAGTTAAAACGTTATAAAAATCTATTTGTTTTCAATGTATTATTTCTAATGATATAAACATTAAAAATAAAAGTACAGTACATTCAGAATAAAGTGAAAAAATACTAGCAAATATAAACAATATATTAATATAATTAACTTTGAAAAGATACTTTAAAGTTCTATATAATATTTTGATTCTATAACCATTCACTATCAATAATTATGTAAACATAAAGTAAAACTATTATCCAGTAGAAACATATCATTTTAACATTTTTCTGTTAAAAGGTTCAATAAAATATTTTTATTAGATTATTGAATAACCCAAAATTATGTCATTGATATTTTAGAAATCATCTAAAACAAAAACTAAATCCACATAAAAAAGCAAACTTCAGGCAAATTGATGATACGTAGAATATATAAGATGTACAGTACAGTACAGTACATTCCATTTATATATTGCCTGACATGACATAGAGGAAATAGGAAAACCAAATTCACATCTTAGGAATATTATATATTAACATACCTTTTCTAATATTTTCGTAGGATCATGTTTTGGGCCTAAAACATAAAGTGTCTGTCCTTTGTAAAGTTTACCACTAAATATTCTTGCAAAAGCGATAAATACAACTTCTTCATCTTGATTAGGAGATTCAAGAGTATTAATATCATCTAATTCTGTAATAAAACAATTATTTTAATGTAATAATTAAATGTCATAATATCATATTCTAGTTTTACAAATTAAGAATGGGAAATTTGATTCTGAATAATCAAAATCTCAGAAATGTTATAATTAGCTGTTCAAAGAAAATGTGTTAAAATTTTGAAATTAAAAACAATTAGCTAAAAACATCAATAGGAATAAAAAAAAACTGTCATGTTTTATGGTATTAAAAAGACAAAATAAAGACAACATTAAGTCAAAAACAAAATATAATTTTAAGGTCTTTCAATGATAATACATAATCATCATCTTAAGATAAAAACAAAATAAGAAAATAACAGAAAAAAGTTTGATGANTATTTTTAGATTAAAAAAATTATTATAAAAAATCAAAGTAATAAATAATTTCATTGTAGTATTATGTTTCTTTATAAATTTCATAAAGGTAACATCATCATAATGGAAATCCTTTAAATAAACAATCTCTCCCATCTCTAAACACAAAAATTTCAAAATCAGCCATATACAATATTATAATAAATTAGTTCACAGATCATTAGATGCACACTGTGTATCTATCTAATTATCCATATACAAAATGCAAATCCTAAATCAAATCAAAAAATTAGTTTACTTGTATATTCTGAATAAATAGTTGATTCTGTAAAATTTAAAATCTTCAAGGGGTTGTTGATAATAAACAAATCAAACCTTTCAATCAAGTTAAAACGTTATAAAAATCTATTTGTTTTCAATGTATTATTTCTAATGATATAAACATTAAAAATAAAAGTACAGTACATTCAGAATAAAGTGAAAAAATACTAGCAAATATAAACAATATATTAATATAATTAACTTTGAAAAGATACTTTAAAGTTCTATATAATATTTTGATTCTATAACCATTCACTATCAATAATTATGTAAACATAAAGTAAAACTATTATCCAGTAGAAACATATCATTTTAACATTTTTCTGTTAAAAGGTTCAATAAAATATTTTTATTAGATTATTGAATAACCCAAAATTATGTCATTGATATTTTAGAAATCATCTAAAACAAAAACTAAATCCACATAAAAAAGCAAACTTCAGGCAAATTGATGATACGTAGAATATATAAGATGTACAGTACAGTACAGTACATTCCATTTATATATTGCCTGACATGACATAGAGGAAATAGGAAAACCAAATTCACATCTTAGGAATATTATATATTAACATACCTTTTCTAATATTTTCGTAGGATCATGTTTTGGGCCTAAAACATAAAGTGTCTGTCCTTTGTAAAGTTTACCACTAAATATTCTTGCAAAAGCGATAAATACAACTTCTTCATCTTGATTAGGAGATTCAAGAGTATTAATATCATCTAATTCTGTAATAAAACAATTATTTTAATGTAATAATTAAATGTCATAATATCATATTCTAGTTTTACAAATTAAGAATGGGAAATTTGATTCTGAATAATCAAAATCTCAGAAATGTTATAATTAGCTGTTCAAAGAAAATGTGTTAAAATTTTGAAATTAAAAACAATTAGCTAAAAACATCAATAGGAATAAAAAAAAACTGTCATGTTTTATGGTATTAAAAAGACAAAATAAAGACAACATTAAGTCAAAAACAAAATATAATTTTAAGGTCTTTCAATGATAATACATAATCATCATCTTAAGATAAAAACAAAATAAGAAAATAACAGAAAAAAGTTTGATGATTAAAACTGAATAAATTAATTATTTTTCTATTTTATTAGAATAGTTGTGATTTTTATTAAATTATATTTAAGTTGTATTATTTAATTATATTTATATTTAAACTCCACATTCCCAGTATTTCATCATAAACTTCACTTTTAATAATTGTTTATTTTGTGAGTATAGTTTTTAATTTAAAGCATGTTGAGGAACTAAAGAACTACAGTATATCAATAGCTTAAGTAATAAATATTTATGAAAGCCTGAATAATTTATTTCTGTCATTTACTTTTCCTTTTCTACACTAATTTGTTTTAATAACTTAAAACATTGTTCTTTATTCATTTTCAACTCAATTATTTGATAAATATTGTTTTGAAACTGTAAATAGCAACACAATTATCAAAAACTGAAAAATAGTCTATAATAATCATTTTTAAAACTAAAATATTTGTTTGCTGAACAAAAACTTTTCATAAAGATATTGAGTGAATCTATTGACTGTAATTACTGCATTTGATTCAATTTATACAGGGCATAAATGTTTATGACTGGTCAGTGTTAAATGAGTTTTAAATTTAATGCATTAAAAAACAGTAACATGAAACAGGATATAAGTATATTTTACCATATAATATCAAATCTTTGATTTATCTTGTTAGTTCAATGTTTTTAATGTTTTCTTTTAACTTCCAACTCAGGAACTAAGACATTGTCTTACAGAGCAATTCTTTACAGAAGATAATTTAATTTAGTTCATAAGTTTCACAAAAAAATTATAATATAAAGCATTGTTTTCACAATATACATTTTGGATGGAGAGTCCCTCATCAGTCACTTGTGTATTTAATACCCATATTGCAAACTGTCTTTGGCAAATTTAGGTATTTACATATTGGTTATATTAAACTAGGAATTGTGGATGAAGCTAAACTAATTTTAAAAAATACAAGTCTAAAATTTATAAAATTAAAGATTATATAGGGTATAAAACAGAGACAAAACATTATCAGCCAGAAATTCACTGATCAGAAAAATTCTTACCAGCATAGAATTAAACACAAAAATGACCATCAAAACCTCTTCCTTTTTTTTATATGTAGAAATTATTTACTTTTAAAGGTTTAATCTGAAGAGTTCAATGAATACTCCAGTATGCTTTCAATACATTTTGGATAGAACTTTTGTAAAAATATCTATAATTGCAGTGCTTTCTCTGTTGGAATGTTTCTGCCTCAGCACAAACGTTTCCAACAATAATTCAGTACTATACTAGCATTATATTACAGTGCATTATAAATATTGTGTCATCTTTTGATTTACAACAAATTGTTCCCAATATGTAAACACTTAAATTTTCTGAAGACTATCCACAATCACAAAGCAGGCAATAAATACCCAACAACTGATAACAGACATTCCATCCAAATTCATATTGTGGAAAAGGTGCCTTATATTATGAACTGAATTATTTTCAGTAAAAAAACTGCTCTGCAAGACAATGTTCCTGAACTGGAAGTTAAAAGAAAATCTTTGATTTATATTCTAATATACTGTAAAATTTGATAAATCTAAAATATCTTAAAAATTAATAAATATTGGTTATTAAAGAAAAATACAGTTCAAATTCTTGTTAATACTGTGCTAATTATTATTATTGATCACTTACTTTTTTGATCATTTTTGTCATTCATAGAATTTATATTCTTATCAGCTGTCATTCTCTCCATATGTCTCTGTCGAGCTTCCTCTCTACGCTGTGCAATTTCTTCTGTAGTAAGAGGTCTAAAATACATAATATTTAATTATAATTATAAAAATTAATATCTTAATTAACAATTGAGATTTCTAATTCTATAAATTTATAAATTATTTTAATTTATTGAATTCAATAGATAGGAGTTATTTTCCATTAAAAAAAGTTAAATTGACTTAACTTTTTTTAATTTGTTTAACAATTTGTTCAAAATGGGTGTTATTAATTAATAACACCCATTTTAAACAAATTTTCAAGCTATAAATAACTTTGCTTTTTAGCTATTGAGTTGTTCGGAAAGTAAGTTCGTTTTTTTTCCGTGGAAAAAAACGCAATATTCTTATAATAAATAAATATTTTATTGAAATATAAGTTGACCATTTTGGTCAAATACCTGTTGTCATCATTTCTGGTAGTAGCACGATTTCACATTCATAAAAGTTTTGATCGTTGCTTACAAAAACCGATCCAAGTGATTTTTGACATTGTCATTTCAAGTAAATGTCTTACAGTTAAAAAAAATTTGTATAGACCGGAACAAGTAATAATCTGAGTGTGCTCGATCTGGCGAATATGGTTGGTGTGATAGCACGTCCCATCTAAGTTATAACAGTTTCTGACGAGTTACCAAACTTGTGTGAAATTTGACATTATCGTGGTAAAACACTACACCTGTTTTGTTGATCAATTCTGGCCGCCTTTTCTGTTTGATGATATTACTCAATTTGTTTACTCGATGGCAGTACACTTTCGAATCAATTGTTAAATTGTCTGGTAAAAGCTCCAAAAAAAATTTCCTTAATATCCCACCAAATAGAGCATTTCTCTTTAAGAACTCGTGGAATTCATATATCGAGCTTTGAAACGAAACCAATTTGTTTCAAGTACTCATAAACAGTTCAATTTGACAAATTTAATCTCTTAGTGATTTCACGTGTTGTTATTCCGCAGTTTGCTTCAATCGGTACTTTTATTTTGTTTTCATTGGCTTCAATTGGCCATCCATAACGTGGTGCATCTTCAATACTGAAATTGCGAGAACGAAATTTTGTAAACCAGTTTTGGCACTGTCGTTCTGTCAACACATCTCCACCATACATGTCACACGATTTTTTTCTTGCTTGAACGGCATTTTTATTTTTTTGGTAATAAAAAAGCAAAATATGCCGAAGATGCTGCTTTCGATCTTCCATATTTGATGGGACACAAAAAATAAACAATTGCACGAAATCAAACAAAATTTTTTACAAATAAGCCATAAAATGCTAGCTGTCAAAATATATAATGATAATATGGTTTAGAACAAAAATGGCGGAAAAAATACCACTAATCCGTCTAGTGGTAAAAAAAACGAACTTACTTTCCAAACAACCCAATATAAATAATTGTTTTTCATCCTGTCATTGTTTTCTTATTTGAATTTATAATTTAAATTTTAAAAATCTTAAGTGATAACTATAAATGAAGTAAATAAAATATTTTTAAAAATTTATTAGCAAACTAAACTGAAAAAAAAAAAAATTCTGTTCATGATTAATTTAAATTAAATAAAATTTAGGTTCAGCAGTGTTATTAACAGTCAATTTCTTACAACATTTAATTACAATCAAATAATAAATGAAACTAATTTTAAAGATCAAGTTAACATTCCAAGATTGTTGCAATCATGATAAAACTAACAAGATGTGATTTTTAACTACAGTGACATTCCATTAACCCAGCACCATGTCAGTCCCGACAATGCAGAGTTATCAATGGAAATTTTTCTGGTTATTTTTCAATTCCCTGGAAACAATTTTACATATCTCTGCATGTAAAACTTCAAACTAACTTTTTACGATTGTTTAATATGCCATTTCAATTTTTCTAGATTATTCCTATTTTTGGTTAGGAATAATCCGAACACACTAACCAGAATCTTACTTTGTACCTTGTACACTTTTACCTATATCTACATCTATCTATTTCTCTATCTATCTATATTCTAGATATTTTACATATTAAAAGCAAAATGTTCCATCACTGCCAAAACCAAAACCAAAAATAACACTTTACAAAGAAGTGCTATAAACAGAGACTCAGCTGTGACTGCCCAATGTAATATAACCAAATCAAACAAGGACAAGTACTTTATCCACACTTTCCAAAATATTATGTTTCAATTTTAATTAATTAATTAATTTTGATTTCATTTTAAATTTTAGTTTGAAGATAAAGGCTGGAGTTTTAATTTTCTTTTTTATTTTAATATAATTTTTAATTAAATTAAATATNTGATGGGACACAAAAAATAAACAATTGCACGAAATCAAACAAAATTTTTTACAAATAAGCCATAAAATGCTAGCTGTCAAAATATATAATGATAATATGGTTTAGAACAAAAATGGCGGAAAAAATACCACTAATCCGTCTAGTGGTAAAAAAAACGAACTTACTTTCCAAACAACCCAATATAAATAATTGTTTTTCATCCTGTCATTGTTTTCTTATTTGAATTTATAATTTAAATTTTAAAAATCTTAAGTGATAACTATAAATGAAGTAAATAAAATATTTTTAAAAATTTATTAGCAAACTAAACTGAAAAAAAAAAAAATTCTGTTCATGATTAATTTAAATTAAATAAAATTTAGGTTCAGCAGTGTTATTAACAGTCAATTTCTTACAACATTTAATTACAATCAAATAATAAATGAAACTAATTTTAAAGATCAAGTTAACATTCCAAGATTGTTGCAATCATGATAAAACTAACAAGATGTGATTTTTAACTACAGTGACATTCCATTAACCCAGCACCATGTCAGTCCCGACAATGCAGAGTTATCAATGGAAATTTTTCTGGTTATTTTTCAATTCCCTGGAAACAATTTTACATATCTCTGCATGTAAAACTTCAAACTAACTTTTTACGATTGTTTAATATGCCATTTCAATTTTTCTAGATTATTCCTATTTTTGGTTAGGAATAATCCGAACACACTAACCAGAATCTTACTTTGTACCTTGTACACTTTTACCTATATCTACATCTATCTATTTCTCTATCTATCTATATTCTAGATATTTTACATATTAAAAGCAAAATGTTCCATCACTGCCAAAACCAAAACCAAAAATAACACTTTACAAAGAAGTGCTATAAACAGAGACTCAGCTGTGACTGCCCAATGTAATATAACCAAATCAAACAAGGACAAGTACTTTATCCACACTTTCCAAAATATTATGTTTCAATTTTAATTAATTAATTAATTTTGATTTCATTTTAAATTTTAGTTTGAAGATAAAGGCTGGAGTTTTAATTTTCTTTTTTATTTTAATATAATTTTTAATTAAATTAAATATTTTTAAATTTAATTATTTTTAGTTTTAATTAACTGGCTACCTAGTTATATGTAAATACAGACAAATACCCAGTGCACCGATACTTCCCCCCAATAAGAGCTTGACATGCTGGCTTATTGTGTTTTCCAGCAGGCCATGTTAACAGAATTTCACTGTATCTTAAATGTTAAAATTAAAAATATAAGATAAGTGTATTAATTTAAATTTATGATTTTTATTATGATAATTAATTATGATTTTTATTTTATTTTCAATAAAATAAAAATTATAATCTACAAATAAAATAACAGAACAACATTTTGAAAAGAAATTCAAAAAATAAAAATTTTAATATTTTATCAGATCTATGGCACTACATTAATCTTTTCAATTGAATAAGATCTGATAATTCAAAAATTAACAACCATCTAAGAGCCAACAAGTTAATTTTACTGACAGATGTAAAATTTTCTTCTTTTCAGTTTAATTCTCTAGTTAAACATAATTTTAAACACTGAAATTTAATATTTTGTTCAGATAGATACTGTTTCTGATTAAGTGTAAATATTTAGTGTATGTTATTACACAATGGAAGATCAATCTCCCCAAAATTATATTATTAATCCACAGGTAGAATGTCACACTGAAAAAGTCTCAAGAGTTAGAAAATATTTTTTTGATTCACTAACACAAGGTGTGTTTCTATTTCAACACTTGGCGGTATTCCATCTTTATTTAGTTGATACGGTTACAAGTACGATAACATGTTTCGGGCACTACCCCTTCAGTCAATGTGAGAGTTGTTCTTGATAACTTGATAAGCTCACCAAAGAAAGTCATCAAGAAAAGTTATCAAGAACAACTCTCACATTGACTGAGGAGGGGCAGTGCCTGAAATGTGTTATCGTACTTGTAACCGTTTCAACTAAATAAAGATGGAATACTGCCAAGTGTTGAAATAGAAACACACCTTGTGTTAGTGAATCAAAGAAATTAAGACAACATGGTTTCAGAAGATTTCAAAATTTCAGTTAGAAAATATTTAATATGTCAACAATTCAGAAGATATGAATTTGTTTGAATCTGAGAAAATTCATATAAAAATATTTGAATTTTTAAATGTTTATTATGTTTGTTACATGGGAAACAAATTCAGAACTGGGGAGAAATAGAAGTATTTCATTGTTACAGCTACTTTCCAATAAAACGACAATCTTAAAAAAAAAGCAATAAACTAACTCTTATTATAAAACCAATAAACATTCAGGCTCAAAATCTACTTATGATTTAGAATTTAGCTATTGTTATACTGAAAAACTTTGCTTTATTCAAATATGTTAGGCAATTGCTATGCAAACTGTCTTCCATTTCCATGTTAGACAGGTTCCCAACTAAAAATATTTTACATATCAAACTATTGTTTTGAGATTTATTTTCCATTTAGGATGTCTTCTGTCTAAAATTAAAATAGGTTTTGTAAAGAGCCCATTTTAATTTTAGACAGGTTTTACTGTATTTATATCAATCAATTTATTTGCAAAGTAATTTATTATTTTATTTATAAATATAACAGAAAAAGCTTTAATAAATTATGTACATTAATATTTTATCTTTTTAGATTTAACATAAGAAAACTGACAAAGCCTAAATAACTAGTAAAAGTGCTTTTGTTCATAATATTTATTATTGTTAAATTAAACATTTCATTATTCAATATTCTTTTATGAATTTAAACACAATAACAGCAACATAATTGTAAAATGTATTCTTCATAAAGCAGCTAAGCATAACATTTGAAACAATATACACAAAGCATATAAAGCTTAGTTCAAAAATTAATATCATTGCATAACTGTGTCCATAATATAACAGTCATTTATTTATATTATATATATATATTTTATTAAAAAATAACTGAAATTATTTAAGCATGTATTATGTAATTATGTAAAAATATATAAATGAAAATCAATTTATAAAATATATATGGTACATATTTCATTATTTAACCTAAAAATTATTTGAATGAAAGCAATGATTCTATGCTAAAAATAACAAAAATTCAACGCAATATTAAATAAAACATGATTTCATTATTCCTAGCATAATTTAATTGCCTAATTTTTAAATACAGTGGGTGATCAGTTAATGAACATAATCCGTTCCAAGACTTTGTTCACTATCTGAATTGTTCGTTAACCAATTATCAATTTACCATAGGTTTTAATGGGAATTTAATTAATTCATTCTGAAGACCCCCCCAAAATAAAAAATATATACTTTCTTACTATGTTTATTTATATGTAATAATAAAAATACATACATAAACAGTCTTGCATTTTTATTAGTCATGTTTTTTCCATTTGAAAGGGTTAAAGAATCTGTCTAATGTTGATTGCTTTTCTCTATTCTTCAGGATTTTTCGGAAGTAATTAATAGCATTGTAATTGTAGAAATCCCCAAGCCTAAACCTGGTTTGGATGCCATTCTAAGACAATTGTTCTGACATCCTCCCACTTCTTCAAAAGATCTTTAATAGCAGATATCAACATTAATCCTCTTTTTTCAGAAGAAAACATATCTCGCCGAGTTTCTTGGTGTTCTTCATTCAAGAGTTCTTGGTGTTCTTCTGTCATCAGATCCATTTCAGGTTCCATTATGAACTCTTCGATGTTCTTTATCTCTCATAAGTGATTTTTGTTACTTCTTTAGCTGCTTGAGTCTTTTCGATTATACTGTATCTTTCTTAGATAAGATTGATCTGCGGCCTACTGTAGACCTATTCACCCCATACTGCCCAGCAACATTAGGCATCTTCTGCCCATTCTCTATCTTTGCTATTATACTCTCACCTTTTGAAAAGAATAACAGATGCAAAACTTAACGAGTGCCTATCCAACAGTCTCGTGAATACATAAAAGAATTGTTTTTGTCAGAAAAATAAAAAGCTGGAATTACAAGGGAAAGTTTCAAAGTTTGGAGTAATACTATCCGATTGGTATACACTGGGTTGAGCATCGATGTCAACATCTCCTGCACTCCGAAAAGTTTCAAATTGTTGCCTAAAGACAAGGGGAGACCAATCAGTATTCGTTATTTTACGTTGCTTTTTCTTGTGTTTATTCTGTGGAGTGTTCGTTGTCTGAACAAAAAAATCTTTTGTGAAAGTGTTTGCTACCCGATTTGTTCGTTAACCGATCACACACTATATTATAAACAGTATACATACATAAGTACAAAACATTTTTAATAAATAACATTAAAAAGTAAACACTATACCTTATTTTGTTTTGTGGTAAAGCTTTTTTATCAACAGAAAACATTTTAGAAACACAAACAACAACAGGAGCATCTGGTGATGAACTACAAGCAAGAAAATCTGAGAAAGAAAAAATTTAAATAAATTTTATTTACTTCTTATTTATAAACAATCAAATGCTAATACACATCATTAAGAATAATTTTTCAATCACTGTAAAAAATTTTGTTTATTGATATTATTTTTACTTCTAATTTTTGTCAAAATTAATTTCATGATATAAAATGTGGTTAATGATAATCCATCAAAATTTTACATAATAAATAGTTTTAAGAAAAGATAATGCATGTTATTTTTTTTTCTTAAAAATGAATTCAGAATTTGGAATTGACCTTGTAAAATTAGTTTGAATATCCTATTTTACGTAACACCAACACAGTGGTATATGTTATATTTTTCTATTAATATTTGATGTATATAGCTATTTAAAACATTATTAGTTTGAATATCAGTCAAATCTAAAAGAGTATTGTATATTTATTTTATGTTCATAATCACTTTTTATATATATGCTTAGATAAAACAAATCATCATCATAAATTAAAATAAGTTTTAAAATACAACTGATAAATCTGGAATAAATAATTTATAAAGAAAAATTTACACTCTATAGCTAACAAGAAAAGTGTTACACATTTTAGTTTCCAATTCAATTGAAACTTGGTGAACATGTAGCTCTAAACACAAACAGCTCCTTGTCCAAATAATAGGATCCATTCTCAAGTGTTTCTAAAAAACAAGTCTCTGAAAATTGAATGTTACTTTATAAATCTTTGAAAGTTTCATACCTCCTCAAAACGGTAATAGCAGAGTGGATAAGATGCAAGGCACTGAAGCTACATGATTCAAATCTCAAAATATAGTGTCTCAAGCATTTATAAAGAAGTCCAAAATTTATAAATTTATAAATGTAATTACAATAGAATCTCATTTTAATGGATTGTGAAACAACAAATTTTTCAGAATAATGGATTTTTCTCCAGGTCCCATCAAATCAATGTAATTTTACCTCTTTTTAGCAGATCCATAACTCAAAATAATGGATTTTTTTTCTAGCTCCATCTTTGGTAAACATTGTATTGTTTTCAACCTTTAATTAATAAGTGGATGTTTCTGGATACTGAATTCAAAAAAGTACATTGCATGCTGTGCAAATTAGGTGAATAATCTTGCAGCCATGCATTAATGCCCTTCTGTAGCATATTGATTAGTGGAGGAAAACTACTTCTGGCTTAACACTTCCATATATGCACATGTGTGCAACAAAGGCTTGTTGAACCTTTGCTGCAGACACATGTTCTGTAATATCGCACCTTGAAATCATGCTTGTATAACAGTAACATTTTGTACTGACGATGCCACCAGAAGAAGCCCAAAAATGTTGCATCATCACAGCATCATCAATGCAAACCAAAATGGACAAGCTTTTTTTTAACATATTGTGAAGTGCTACTGATCACACATACTTTGTCACTTTTTGGCATATAATGTATACAGTTTCTGTCAGCTTTGTTATGGCATAATGTACAATCTTAAAATATATGCATTTATATAAAATAAAAGAGAAATCTCAAGAGACTGAATAATTTTGAGCATAGATGTTTGTTTACATAGATGGTTTAAAACACGAATATTTTTTCAATATAATGGATTTTTGGAAAAAACAGATAATTTTCTGCACCCCAAGCAATCCATTAAAAGGAGATTCTACTGTGTGTGTATATTATAATGTTACAATACTAATAAATTCATATTATATTAAGAATGTTGGGTTTTCAGTAAATTATAATGAATATCTAGTCATANATAATTAAAATTATAATTTCTTAAATATTTAGAATTATTCATTATTCCAAAAAATGACGATAAGTTTTAATGAACATATTATTAACCTTTTTTTAAATCTTGAGTCTGGCTTGGAAGTGAATCAAATCTATGAGTACTTGTACACATTAAACATTCAACTCTTTCTGAACTTAATGAGGCTGGACTTGGTATAATATTACAGAGCATATCTAAAAATAAATTTTTACTTTTATTAATTTTCATAAATAAAACAGAATATAACAAAATTAAATAATTTATCATCAATTTCTAAGAAATAAGCAAAGTCATAATTTTAAAAAATTTATTTTATAGATAAGAAAAAAAAACATTGCATTTACATGATTAATACATTATTTTGTAGTATTTTTGATAAAAAAAATAATGTTTCAAGCATTTTAATGAATTCATCTAAGTCTTTCAATCTGTTTATCAATAACAATCTTAGTACTTGGTATTGATTGATAGATCATAGAAATTAGTAGCAGCTCAAATTTACTCTTAGCAATTTTTAACATGTGATTTCTAGAGAAAGAAAAAATTCACAACTATTAAAATCTCTATTAATTTAAATATTTCATATTAACTTACATATATATATATATATATATATATACACACACACACACACACACATGCACACATATATAGCCAATACATAGTACAAGCAATTGCTCAGTAAAAACAATACTAAATGTTCAGTAACCATACATGTGTACCAGCAGTATTTTTTTAACAAGCACTGTACACTGTAGTACACTGTAGATTTATGCTAATAATATATGCAAGGATTAATTTTTTCCTAAGTGTCATGTAAGCTGTAAAATACAAGTCTGGGAAACAGATACAAAATATTGTATTTACTTGCATATAAGATGAGGTTTTTATTCATTTTTTACTGCTTCAGAAACCTAGGTTGTCCTATACACTTGAGCGAAAGATTCTTTGCATTTTTGCAATAATTTTTGTAAATCAAGTATTCACATTTTTTACCGGATGCTCACCCACTGATGTTTAAAAACAAAACTATTTTATCTGGGACATATGAATTGTTCTTGTGTATTGTCAGGAGTAAAGATGAATAGCAATAGGAAAAACAAAGCTTTTGAATTGAATTCTGAATTGAAATTTCAAAATCACACGGGATCACAATATAAGTTTTAATCCATTCCCATGTGAAAACAGATGATTATTTGGAAATCAGAATTTGGATAAATGTGGATAAGTGTGGATTCAATGGAGATACTCTCCATTGAATCCACACTTATGAATTTCTCCGAATTCCAATTTCTGAATAATCATCTGTTTTCACGTGGAAATGGGAGTAAATTCAACTGTTAAAAATTGGCAAAAAAGGTTCCTGATTGTCCAGCTTTACATGAACAAACTATGTTGTCAATTTTACAAGATTTTTCCTTAAAGTTTAAACTGCCAGTAATTTTTGTGGGACAATGTGTGCATTTATGTGCATTTGATATTTTATTTGTGAATAAATGAAATAAAATTAGAATTGTATTAATAAATCTAATTTTCTTTATTCTGATCTTTAAAGTCACATGTCGTCTTAAATGCAAGATTGTCTTATATGTGAGTAAATATGATATATAGTCAAAGATTAATATTAAGATTGTTTTATTTCTGAACAACAACAGATATGATATGAAATTTGTAATTGCACTTTTAAATAAATGTCATCAAAACTGGGGATAAATTTTGTGGCATCTAATATTAAAATCTCTATTAGATATTCATTGACTAGTGATGTTTGATATTTTGATTTTATACATTTCATTAAAAAAAAAAACAAGTTTGTTCACAAAGATATGGTGAAGAACATTAATGAATTGTTATTTAACTTTTATATTAGAAAAACTGATAAGCTAGTTTAATATTTATTCATTATATATTACATGATTCCATCTCTGAATTTCTTTACACTGTAATTGACTGACCAATCTATATATATAATCAATACGAGTTGATAATGATAATAATAATAATAATAATAAGTGCAGAGTCCAAATGGTTAGAAGCTGAAAGTTGAAATTTGGTACACAGTTAGAGTACATCAAGAGAATGCACACTAAGAAGGGATTTTTCAAAATACCTCTCCACGAGGGAGAGGAACAGGATTAAGGCTTAACAATGGAGGTGTCAACAATGGAATTGTTAAGAGAAAGCAAGGTGCAAGACTACTTTTATTTATATAATTCTCTAATTAGTCTGGAAACAGGGGGACCCAATTCTTGCATTCTGTGAAAATGAGTAAGGTTGACTATAACGTAATAATCTTAATCTTTGCTATTGTTACTTTTGCCCGAGCAACACAGGGCCTACCTGCTAGTTATTTCAATAAAAATACAGAATATAAAATTTGTTTTCTTAAATTTACTTCATATATGCAAATATTAAAATAATGGGAAAAAATATTTCAGAAATATAGAGCATATTAATAAAATTATTGACTTTTAATAGTCAATTAAAAGNATAATTATTTATAATTAACAATTAATAATAATTTTTAATAATTATTATAATAATTTATTATATATATTTAACTAATATTTCACTACGTTATACCTAAAACTGCCTTGGGTAATGAAAGCCACTGACTACAAATTGCTTGCAGTTGTACTCTTGAATCAGAATGTTTGGAATCCCTTGGTGCTATCTTCAAATCAAGAGATTTAACAATTTTGTCAATCATTTCTTTATTTCTAAAAAAGTGAAGTTTTAAATTTTGTAATATATTATGCATAAAAATATATTATCTACTTTCAACAAATACTTTTTAATTATTCACTGCAATACAGACATGTTTCTTTTGAATTTTTAATTAAAGTTACTTTTCTTCTACACAAGAAGGATTAGCAATTACATATATTATTACATAAAACTCATAATTAAAATATATTTATATTTTATTAAAGTATTATCTTTGAATTTGAGAAACCTAAAATTCTAATAAAAAATTTTCCTTAAAAGAATACATATTAAATACAAGAGAATAACATCTTTTTTCATACAATATAACAATTACTATCAAGATATTTTTCTTTTTTCATTCACCTCCTTTTTCTCTTATGTTTTTCAGAACTTATATATTATAATAGTTCTCTTGTTTAGGAAGCCACTAGAATTGAGTGTGATGTCCTAAATAAGAGAACTAATACATAAATAAATGAAAACATAACTACCAAGATAGTTTTAAACACATTATATTGTATCTTTTATTCATTACACTTTGTTTTATTACCAATTATTTATATACATCAAAATGAAAAAATACATATTACAAAATGACAACATAAAAAAAAATGTATCTTTTTCCATAATGGTAAATACAATATTTAAATTAATCAATTTTTAGAAACTAGTAATTCTAAAAATTTAACATTAGAAACTCTTGAAAGTAACAATGAAAAAAAAAAGCAAAAACTAAATAGAACGAGTTGTTTTATGAATGCATGACAAGCAAAAATTTCACCAAAAAGTGAAAAAAATTCCCCTAAGAAAGGTTTTACTTTGTTAAAAACTATTATTTTTTTATTTATTGATTATTTAAAATTCAATAATAACTGTTACAAATAACTAAAGGTATTCCTTGATTAATGTGGTTAACTAATCCCTCGATGCTACCACATATCTCAAAATAGTGTTAGTCAAGTACAGTGGTACCTTGGTACTCAACCAAACAATCACCATCCACTAGAATAGATTTTTCAGTTAATAATAAATATTTTTATTTTAATAAACAAAAATAGCAAATTTGCTAACACCTTATTTGCCAGGAAAATCATGTCTATGTTAGAGAAAGACAACTGTTGAAGCTGCATTAATTAAAAGTTTTTCCACATATAAAAAGGGATTGCTGCAATTAATTTTGCAAATTAATCAAAATCACATTAAGCTAGGAATACCTGTAATTTTTTTTAATTAAATTAAAAGATGTGACTTATTTAAAAACTGTATTTGAATGAAAATTATCTTACCTTTTAATTACAACTGCTTCATAAACAGCCCATATATTTTCTAAAACAAACTGTACAAATAATGGTTTCTTTGCCTTTGCCTGAATTTAAATACATATATATAAAATCTAATATTCAAATAATAAATAAAATTGAATACTTAACAAAAAGAAATAATTTTAATGCTGTGAAATAAAATGTAAGGAAATAGTAAACTATTACTATAATATAATCACTTTTTATTTTTGACAAATTTTAGCATTGTTATTTTTCATTTATAGCATGAACAAATAACTAGTTGACTAACATTGTGTAAATAACACAAAATTGAAGCAATTTTTGCAAGAAATTTTTAAAATTAAATCTTAGAATCTAAATTTAAATAATAATTTGAAAACAATAATCCTAAATTTTTAGATTTTTATATTATAGATGCATGCTTATTCAAAAATTTACAAATTCTCTGCTTATCTTGAAATTTACGATGTAAAATTTAGACACAGTTTATATCTAATTTTAGATGTGCAATATAATATCTGTTTATCAAGTTTGACAGAATCTATTTCAATTCATCAGACAAATTTCAGCTACATCAGGAAGCATTAACCACATATTTATTTTGATTTAAGACAAGATACAAGAATATTTATTCCAATTCATATAAAAATACAATGAAAACAACTAAAAGAATGAAATACTAAATTTGAAAATACTTTAATAGATTAAATTTCTTTAATATTAAATTATTATGCTAATACTTTATCTATAACAACAAATCATAACATGATTCTTGACAAGAAATTTTTATTTGATATATATTTTCATGTTTTCATCTATTATCAAAACTTTAAAACAAACATTAAAAATACAAGATTGCACTGTAGTTTTCCTTTACTAAAACATCATTAGTAAAATTTATAATTAATAAATTTATATAAAAATGGTTTCAATGGAAATAATGCAGGAGAGAAAATATTTATTCAATAAATATTAATGAGTTGTATACTAAACTTTTAGAAAAAATTGAATGTGTACTTATTAAAAATAAGAAAAAATAAAAATAAAAGCCATAGAATTGGTCAATTATGAATAAAAATTGAAAATTACAAATACTAAACATCATTTGATAAATTTATACTTACATAATGACATTAAAAAAGTTTAGAAAGAAATCAAAAACTAGAATTTTAAAACTTATATGCATTTATGTATTATATAAACTAACTGAAATATTTCATTGAAAAATTATTTTATTTGAAATCAAAAAACAAATTATTGTTTATAAATAAATATAATAAACATTTAAAATAATTTTTATAAAGATCAATTGAGAGCATTAATATAGTGATAACAAAAGACACACTAAATTATTAGCAGCATATAATAAAATTTGTAATTATTACTTTATTATTTATTATATTCATTGATAAACAATAACCTGTTTTTGATATCAAAAAAAATAATTTTTCAGTGAAATATTTCAGCATGTCTATCTAATACTTCTTGTAAAATTAATAGTTTTACAATAAGCTTGATAATTAGAAACAAAAATAAACATTAGTTTTGTTTTAATATTAGAATATATAAATTTTTTATTAATAAATAAATAATTTATTAA